AATGATTATCCTAATTATATTTTAGGTTTTTATATTTAAAATGAGATGTTTATCCAATATTTGATTATGTTTATTCGCAGTTAGTTACACGAATTCAAAATGGAGTTTTAATAAGTTGTACTTATACACAATTTACTTGTAATATTAAATTTTAAGTAATATGCATCAATAAACAATACTTCATGCATAAAAATGGTTTTTAAGAATTTTTGTCAAATGCTTTATAATATAGTACAGGTAAAGTAATTTATTACAACCCGCAAAGATGATATATCCTTAATATAGATATTTAATTTTAATTTTAAAATGAGAACGAAAATCTCTTTTTATTAAGATTTAATCACAAAGTATTAGATTGGGTGTATATGTCTCATTCACAACTCTAAACATTATTATTTGGAAAATGACATCGAATATATATTTTTTTAGTTATTGCCGTAATTTTATCAATTTAAATGACAATGAAATCCTGATTTGACATTTAGTATATTCATTATATCAGACAAACAACAAGTAGTCCGTTGGATAAAATCGAGAAAAAAAATGGAAATAAAAAACCATATAAAAGATCTAGTATTTCTTATGATTTTAGCAGTTTGGTTTAAACGACTAAATCAAACGAGATGTTATTCATTTCGGTTTTGATTATATCAACCGAACAAACTTAACAAGGACTTTTAGATAGAAATGACAACGGTCAACAAAAAAGACATAATCTTCGGAATTCAATTTTAAAATATTTATTTTGTTCTCAAATATGATAACGGGTTACCTATTAATCTTTTTTTAACAAAACCTTAAACCAAAATTACGATATTATTCGATCCTATTTTCCGGCAGAAAAACTTTAAATGCTGTCGGTTTCAAATTTAATACAATAATTTATGGTTTTATTTAGTAATAAATTGATAATACTGATTGGTCTAGAACTTTTCTTCATTTTGTTATTACTAAAGAATATTTATTATTATTAATAAATATCTCACGTTGAAATAGATAAGGGGTCGTATAAGAAGGATAGTTAAAATGAGAAGTATAAGAAGAGATATGGGCCATTGATCATCTTTAATCTCAAACACATCAATGAATCGTGTTTGACACGGGGATTGATCTGGTGTATTGCCTTCTATTTGTGAATCCAAGTGTGGAAATCTCTTATTACACTTCTCACTTTAACTATTATTTTTATCGAAACCCAACTCTGTTAAAATATAACACTTATCTGAAATTTATATAAGATTATGGTATTTAAACAAACCAAATTTAAGTCCTTTCCAGCACATCAAAAAGAGAGTTGTAACCACCAACATTAATAAGATAGCAACATATGGGGTTATGTTTAAACTATCCATTATTTTCTTTTATCAATTCATATTGCATAAGCTTAATTTTATTTGACTTAATTAAGAGACTCGGTCAAACCCGTTAACCAAAGAACTAGTCGAATTCAATAAAGGTTGAGCAGACTTGACCTTTTTTTCTCTTTTAACTTTGACATCTTAACCATTCATATTTAGAAATACATAGTTAACAATTTACATTTATAAAATGTATCATTTCTGAAAAAGGGAAAAATTAAAGAAATTCTTTTTGAACCTTTATTCTTTAAAAACAAATCATTAAACTTAATCATTTACTGGTATTTATTAAAAATCAAATATATAATTTAACACGCAAGATCTGATATAAATGTAATATGATTTATCACCACAACCATTTGTTTCTGGTATTCTTAAACTGACTGATTGAAAGATGTCTAATTCAGTCAAACATTTAAATGGTTTGATTCAACCAAATAATTACATGGTCTCGTTCACATCATATAACACGTTCCCATTCAAAATTGTAAGAGAATATGAATAAGCCGTACATGATTATTTAAGTTACAATTTATCAGTTAAATAGTTAAATATTATTAATAACTTTTGCTTAAAAATATCCTATCTTTTTATGACAATGATTTTGTCTTTTCTTTTAATTTGTATCATAAATACAAATACCTAAAACCGAAAATCACTTTTGTGACCACGGATTAAACGAGGGTACGTTTCAAGGTCTACACGGAGTTTGATTTATAACACAATCACACGCTTAACATGCCAAAATTGCAAACAACCCCCTCAAGGTTTCCTCCTTTTTGTACCTCCATTTAACAAACAATAGTTATTCATTTATCATCGTACTTAAAAATAAAACTTATATCTATATAACCATTTTTAATTTCTGACTAATTTATGAGAAACACCACATAGTTGTAATAAAATAATAAATAAATCATATACAATTTACTAACTAGTAATTTTATTTATTGGCATATCAGTGACTCTACAAGTGAAATGAATCAATAAGGTAAATCAAGGACGGACCTACTTTGGTGGTATAGATGGCACGTGCCACCATATTATTCATCCGTCGAAGGGTAAAAAAATTTAGATTCGTAAAAGATGCAACCATATTAATTTGTTATGTGTCATCCGTATGTATTTTGAAACTACAATGAGAACACGTTTTATTTGGTATAATTGGTTTACAAGACTCTTATTTCACCCTAGACCCAAGCTTGAATCCTGTTAGTGTCATTTTTTTTAATCAAATAGTGTCACCGTTTGAAAAAAATTCCGTATATTTGTTTTTTATAGTCAAACGGTGTCATCGTTTGAAATTTTCTCCCTATGTTTTTTTCTTATAGTCGAATGGTGCCACCCTTTAAAAGAATTTCTGGGTCCATCCCTAAGACAAATCCATCATAGTATTCATTTATGTAGGTCTTGAACTATTATTACAATTTAAAAGAGCAAGATAATCGATTGGTAAAATGGGTTTTGCAAGTGCTCTGTCTCATATTCTTTCATTTACACTGAAACATTGATTTATTACGAAGAAAATGTGATAAAACATTTCTTTTGGGTAAAACTTTAGATTAGAGGTTGAGGATTCAAACAGTACATGGAGAAAACGATATTTTAGAACTCAAAGGGTCAAACTGTTAAACTGGTAAACAAAAAGGTAGATTTTAGCAAGTTATGATTGATTTATTTCTTGGCCACTCGCAATAAAAAGTCTGTTATTGGCTTTGGTTTGTTGTCTTGTACCTCCTCCTATTCTTCAACTTCTTCACAGTTTTTTCCTGTCATTCCAAAACAAAAACAAAGGGAGAGGCAGCTATGGGAAGAAAGCTTGATGCTCTCTTTGGCAGAAAATTCAAGACCTCCAAGTTTAAAACCACTCTAAACCTCGCTATCTCCCGCCTTTCACTCCTCAAAAACAATCGCAATGCTCGACACACCATTTCTCGCTCCGACATCATTCAACTCCTCCACCTTAACCACCATGAACATGCCCTCCTTCGGGTACTAGATCTCTCTCTCTCTCTCTCTCTCTCTCTATATATATATATATATATATATTCATGATAAAAATTATTCAACTGTATGATATATGATGATTATTAAGCATTATTCATCATGAATAATCCATAAAATAGTTGGTTTTCAGGTTCTTGGCAACTACTAATTTGGTCATAACTGGGATACATGTGACAGGTTGAACAAGTGATCAAGGACCAGAACATGCTAGATGTATATGATATGATACATGGTGATTGTCATCTGCTCATACAAAGGATCAACCTCATTGAGCAAGCAAAGTATGTATTTTTCTGGGAATATCTATCTTTTAACTTCTGGTTATCAAACTGTTTCACTACTAACTAAATACCTATGCAAATAATAGAATTTTATGATAATAGTGAAATAGGTAATTTTAACTTTGAGACTTGTTAGACAAAGAAAGGAATAATGCATTACTTGAAGTTTTATGTGGCTCTTTCTACAGTCATTGTCCAAATGAATTGGAAGAGGCAGCATCGAATTTGTTGTATGCAGCTCCGAGATGTGGGGAGTTCCCCGAGCTTCAAGAGATTCGTGCAATTCTCACAGCTCGTTTTGGAAAGGAGTTTGCTTATGGTGCTATTGAGTTACGAAGCAACTGCAGAGTTGGTCAAAAGGTAAGAGACGCTGAAAGATCATAATCAACTATCAAATAACATGGAGATTCTATTACTCTAACAGCTAAGCATAATTGTTTATATGGCGCTAGATGATACAAAAACTGTCTCCCAGGCAGTCGAGTTTGGAGAGCAGAGTGAAGATGCTTTTAGGAATTGCCACAGAGAATGGTATCATTCTGCAACTGGAGGAATCTTCACCGCAGATCAGAAAGGTTAGAAATTATGATACTGCCTTATTGAAGACAATCCAAATTCAAATGATAATTTCATGGATAGAGCAGTATATGATGTTAAAATTTGAATCTATGCTTTTTTTTTCATGATCTTGAATCAATCCATGTCTGCAGAAAAAACTGGTTGTCGACAAGAAGCAAAGTCAACTTAATACAGAAGCAAAAGTGGAGGCGGTGGCATCCATGGTTTTGCCGGAGAAAATAGAAAAAGTTTTGAGTTTGTCTGAGTCAATGAAAGGGTGGAGAAAGTACAGGGATGTAACTGATGCAGCAGAAGATGCTTTTGAATCAGCAGCATATGCAGCTGCTGCCGCCAGCGCAGCAGTGAAACTCTCCCGCTTGGAATCATTTAATTATGCCAGAAAGGTGCTTAATTCTGAGTCCATGAAGTCAAAACATCACATGCATGACTGCAGTCAAATGGGATGCCAGAAAAGCTCCTCAACTCCAAGATATTATTCCGAATCTGAAAATGAGGAGACTGCTGAAGGTGAAAGATCAAAATATAACATGAAAGTGGCAGAATTTGATAGTTCAGATTCAGATGGTTACTCTGATGAAGGGGATATAAGGTCATTCCATGGAGGTCAGAGCAAGCCATTTGGGAAGAAGATGTATTTTGATGAAAGTGATTACGACATTGAACAAATAGAGTTTCCATCAAGGAATTATGGCCTAGTACATGATGCAAAACAAGGCTCATATGGAAATGAATCATCTTATCCTGCTAAAGGTTACAATATTTCAGAAGGGCATAATAGGAATGCATAGTCCTCATCTCATAAGCAATTCCCATTCAGGCATCAAGCTAACCCCAAGGCACGAAAACCTGGAAACGGTGAAGGTTCTATGATGCAGGAGGTGCAACAACTAAACTTAGAAAATAAGCTAAATTCTGCGAGGAACTGAGGAAGAAAAGAATCTATGATCCATAAGCCCATAACCAGCTTGCAAGCATATCAGAGTTTTGTAACTGTTTCAGTGATTATGCACATTGGTTTCTTTCATTTCTGGGTTTGGTTATCCATCTGGATCATGGTTTTTTCACATAATTCTTTAATGGTTTTCAAGGGAAAGAGGATTTCCACTTTAATTAACCTTTTGTAAAACCAACATATTTATCCATTAAGTATTTAGCTTTTTGATCCATCGTACTTGGTTTTTCTTCTTCCAAACAAACCATTGTTTTTGCAAAATTACAAAAGCAGCATCAGACAATTAAGTGATGTGCCAAATAGTTCCAGAATTTATCCAGAGCCGCTCATTCTTACCAACTATAGTATTCTTTTTTGCAAGAATGATGGTTTGTTAGCAACAAAGAGCCAAGTGCGGTGGTTGGAATGATATTCTAAGTGTATGTGATATATTGCATGTAAAAAATGATTATAGACTTGGTAATCTACAACACGAACAGTAAAAAAATGATCCTGGCTACAGAAACATCTGAATACAGAATCCTTCTATTAGGCAGCAGTCATGATGATGCTAACAAATCAAATTACTTGCATCAGACTCACAAGCAAGGTTATAAACATAGTCACACTCTAGTAAATAAAAAAGGAATACTCCAGCATCAAGCCTGATAAATAACTAATTGTACTTACCTGGTTAGGTATCTACTTTTGACTGTGGAGCGTAAGCTGTGGTTGTAGAAAAGCTGCTTTCTCTGACTCTTGTCTTCTGATCCTCATTATAGTTAAATAATTAAATTGCTTTTGAACTGATCAAAATTCAGATAATTGGATGTGCTATAAGCAAAATTGGAAGAAACAACACCCTTCCATAATACTCCTATCTTCCTAAATTTAAGTGTTTGACTCTTGGTCATGTATTTAAATTATCCAACAAAATGGAGTAATTTTGTGGACCAAAATAAGTGATGTCAATGCTAGCTAACAAGCAAATAGGCAATTTTTAATGTTGAGTTGAGAAAGGATTAATACATATACCCCCCCCCCCCCCGCCCCAAGTCATAGCTTTACTAGAAAGTTTGAAAGGATACTTAAAAAGTAAACATGTTCTTCTGATGTATGAATACAATTATATCAACTGAAAAAAGGTAGCGATTTACAATTTTAAAATTATGCTGGGTATTTCGTAGTCTATTAATTTCATACATGATATATTCAACTAATAAGAATCAATTAAACTTCTTTTCAGAAGACCAAGCTTTATGTGACTAGTAGTAACTAATCAACTCTTGTTAGTTCTGTACTGCATATCCATGTGACTTTTTGTATAAAATGTTTGATTCTGTCACCTCTTTATTTATATAAATGTCAAATGCCAAAAGCTGTATAAGCTTTTTCATATCCTCAAAAACCAGTTTCCAGGATATACGAAAAGACTAATTGAATATCAAAGTCAAGATCGTTAACAATTTAAACTGTAACGAGGTTACTAATTTATCAATCTGATTTACCTCTACTTGCTTATACATTTATACGTGTACAATGCTATATAGAAGCTACTAGCCCCTAGGACGCTTCTTTCCATGTGGCATTAGAGTAGAATATATCTGCAAACTCACACCGATATCTTCATCATATTCAAGGCAAAGTTCCTCCTGCACAAGTAGATCACATTAGAGAATAATATTTGCAACAACAAGCACTTGTACAAAAGGTTTTTTACAGATACAAAACCTTGAACTCCTGGGGGTTTTTGGGTGAGTTCTCAGTAATAGCATCCCAGACATCTTTGAACATCCTCTTCCGCTTTCTCCACTGACTGATTGCATCTGAGTAAGTTTTCTCCACAGCCTTTCGCTCTTCTGGGCTTACCAAGGTTACTCCTCCACGTAATTTAGTCAATCTCTCTTCCATTTCCTTAACCTAATACAATTATATGATGCTCGTAAAAAAACCATGAATAAGTGAAGCATATCAAGATAAAGGAGGTCAAATTAGTTATTTCAAGAACCTGCTTTCTTAGTTTAACATCATTGGACTGTATATCTTCCAGTGTTAGGTGTGATTGTAGAGATTTAATCTCTGCACAAAAAAGATTATCATGTAATGTATATCAAATGTGAAATAGTGGCATTGCATTCATAAAGCCTAAGAACCAGAGGTGCTTCTACCCCCTCTTGACCGCATCCTTGAACTGTTGACCTCAAATACAGGCAATATAGATTAAGAAGAAAAGAAAAGAAAGAGACAGAACCTCACAGATCATAAACTTATAAAGTGGGGCTAAAATTCAAAGTAGAGCATATACGAGAGAGGAGGCAATGCAACAAAGGCAACTAGAAATCTCTCTCTTTATGAGCCGAATTGGAAAATCAAGTCTTTCTTAGATGTTAGTGACAATTTGGGATTCATGGTGAGGATTTTCTTTGTTAGACTAGTTTCTTATTGCATATTTTCCCATTGTTCATCTTAGACTTATTTTTCGGTGATTTCATGAACTCCAAATATCATGTTTTCCTACTGGTTTGGTTTTAGACCAAAGGCCATGTCAATGTATCACATACCTGAATGATGAAATTGAGTTGGTATGTGAGTAAAACCAGAATGATGGCTTCTCTGTGGTTTTAACAACATTATCGCTTTAAAAACAAGATAAAGAGTCTTAGAAAAGAGTACCTCCTTCAAGCTGACTGTTTGCTTTTTTTTGTTCTTCCAGCATCTCTTGTAATTTGGCATTTTCTTCCTTCATCTGATTAAGTTCTTCAGTGTTTGGGATCTGAAATTGATCTTGCCTAGCAAGATATATCTTCTGTTTGCCATATTCTTTGAATGATATTCGTCCACTGTCAGCAAGACTATCGAGAGCCTTCTGTATGGCAGCTTTTTTCAGGTTGAATTTTTGCAAGAAATCAGCCACATTTTGAGAATTCAGTGGTCTATTTTGCTGTAGAAAGCAACAGCATCAACAAGAGATTAGAGTCAGAATTGATGAACTTTTTACTGGTACAACTGTTTACAAATACAACCTCCCGTTAACTTGGAGGGAGAGACTTTATGGTGAAGTTTCCTTGTAAAACATGGCGTCTAGAATCAGAGTATGTGAATATGATTCAACTGTAAGACACCTTATATTCCAAACATAGTATCTCCAAGTTTTAACTGTGCTTCATAAGAGCTGTTGTATGTACAATAAACAGAAGAATTTTATCCTTCTGATGTTCTTGAATTAAATATCAGTCTGATAAGAAAGAGAACGATCTAGAATTTAGAGGGAATGCCTGGCCCTTTAGCTGAAATGAAACCAGAAGAAAAATAAGGAACTCATCTTATAAGGGTCAGGTTGCTCATTTACAAAACCTTATTCATATGAAGGCACACAGGTCCTCCTTCAAAGTTTTACACCTTTAAGTGTATTAGTGGTAAATCTTTACTTCCAATAAATTTTACTTTGTATGCCCCTTTGTTTATCTTTTTGGCTATTTTGATAGGAGCCCTACAGGTGATGTGATAACGTTGAAATGCAAGTAGTTAATTCATGGGGTTTTAACGTCAACATAATACAAGCTGGATTTCACAAGTACAAAAAAAGGTCATATCTTAAATGGATCTCTCTAAAATAAGCTTGTCAAACTGTCATGTTTGCAGTTACAGAGTGGAAGTGGAGCTACCTTAGAGCCTTATTGGTAAAAATGATAATGTCCACTATCTAAATGGTCCATGTGGAAGAACAACTCTTGTTAAAAATATCATGAAAGTCTTTCTACATAAGCCTCACAATTACGTTGTCAGGAAAGAAAATAACTCGAAAATCAAACTGATAATATCATGAATTCACAATACTTCCACCTCAACTAGGAAATTTGACGACACCCATACAAAAACTAAAACATTCTTTTGTAAGTGGCAACTTCTTTGAAACCATGTCATGGAAAATAAATCTAAACAAAAGATGCAGACTAAATTCTCCATAATAGTGCTTCTAAAAATCTCGATTAACACATCTGTAGCTATAAACATTGAGATCGAAGATTAAATTTTACCTCATTGACGAAGTTAAGCACGATTCCTGCAAATTATACAACAGCGCACAGTTTAAAAACTTGTGAATGAAATAATAAATCAGATATTGAATTGATATATAAAATTAACCTTCCGCACTATCGGATTTGGGAGCCATCGTGTCGATACAGGGTTTACACCGTCGAAGAAGATGGAGAGCGCGGGAAGTTTTACTTCGACGCCTCAAACACCTCACTGACGAAAAGTTGAAGTGAAAGCATGACCCACGCCCCAATGCATTCGGGTGGGTGGAGCTCCAATATCCGAAGAAAGAAACTGTTTTGTCTATGCGACGCCGTATCAATAATACTTGAAAGAAAATGAAATTAATAATATTAACTATTTTTTCTTCATAAGAGTAATATTAACTAAAAGACTGTTTGACAGTTGTTGAATGGTTCAGTGCAGAATAATTAAGAGGCACTCATGATATAGTGCAAAATGAAAGATAATTGTTTGGTGTTTGTTTGCAATTAAATTAGGGCGCTTAATGGTTAAGGAGACACATGATACAAAATCATTCAGAAGGTTTTAGAACCATTAAGAAAGACTTTTTTTTTTGCCAAACAAGATTCACATCTTAACAATTCAGAGTCTGCCTCTTAATAGAACTATTAAGAAGTAAACAAACAATCCCTAATTAACTACCAATCAAATTTAATAACCTGTTCACCAATTTGGGATAATAATTTGATTTTTTTCAATATAAAACAATTCAATATTTTGATTTCAATGTTTCGTTTTATTTTGTTTCTGTCGATGTTATAATACGAATTTATGTGGTTTTGAACAAGCACTAATGTTTTTATTTTGAATAAAATATAAATTTGAAGATATCATAAATTTAAAAAAATATAGTAATATTAGTATCAAATTAACTATTTAAAAGTCCTTGTTTTTTTTTTGTAATTTCTTTAATTCAATTTTTTATTATAATTTAATTCATGTTCAATAAAGAAGTAATTTATTTTTGATTTAATAATATAATTTTTTATAAAGGTAATAATTAAATTAACTGTTAAATATCAATGATTATCTTGATTATATTTTAGATTTTTTATATTTAAAATGAAATATTGATTATGTTTATCTGTAATTAGTTACACGAATTCAAGCATTGAACTTTAATAAATTGCATTTAAACACAATTTACTTGTAATCTTAAATTTTAAATAATATCCATCAATAAACGGTATTTCATGTATAAAAAATGATTTTTAAAAGTTTTTGTCAGATACCTTATAATATAGTATAGATACATTTTATTAGTGTTGTGTTTACTGGATTTAAATATAATTGACAAAAAATTGGACTTCATTATGCATTTGGGAGTTTAATTAGTATATAGATGGGACTTTTGGCAAGTGATATTGAATCAACAAGTAATCTAAACACGATTATTAGCCAAAGACCATTCATTCTAGGAACCATCTTGACCATTACGGTCTCTCACTTTGCCCGTCTTTAATCTTGGCTGAAGCTCCCATACGTAGTTTACACGCACACAATGATGCTTACAACTTCGCTCTTTATAGGTTATGAATCACTTTTGCAACGGAAATTACATTCAACAATAAATAAATAAAAAGCAGTCAAACAACTGATAAGCGTTTTGTCCAAAATTGATTAAGAGGTCAAATTGCCACCACTTTGTTGCCAAAGATTGATGATATCGGTGGCTTGATTGAGGAGAATGATCATCTTCTTTTGAGATATCCAAGACTTGCTTTCCAAAGTGGTCTTGAGTTCTTCCCAAGCATCTTTCCTTGGCCAAAAGAAGTAAGGACTCAAAGGGATGGAGCCATGCCCTGGTATCACTTGGTCAAGCCCAAGCCCTATGTTCTTCTCCATCCAAATGAACTTCAACACTAGCCTTGGCTTCTCCACACTCTTCACATCCAATTTCACCTAATGTTGCATGTTTTTAACTCACGTCAACATCGTAATATAAATACACATGATCATCAATTTGTTGATCCATAACTGTTATTGTGGAGTCTCATATCAACTAGACTTTGACCATTTCTCTTGTGTATATGTTAGAATCTTCCCCATCTCATAAAAAGGGCTCTTTTTGGAGTGATCAAGGGCTCCACTTTTATTATAAAGAGGTCAATGGGAATGGATATAATTGCTTACAAATGAAAAGTAACCACATGCTATATAGACTTGGGATCATATAAGACCAACCTGTTTTCGTGAGACTGTTATACCACTTTTTTACACTTGCAACCTCTCAGCGAAAACACTGTAAACGTAAAAAAAATCCACAGCTTCACATACTTGTCTCACGTAAACCCAACCCTATCTATATATATATATATATATATATATATATATATATTCCATCTCGTCTCAAAATTACTATCCATATATTTAGTTAAAATTGAAGATATAATTAATACATTTATGAAAATATATTATATTAATTTTCTCTTAACATGTGATTGACAAAAACAAAACCCTACATATGAAGATGTGAATTCGAAATGCTGATTCTTGACATATGTATATGTGTATGTATATATATATATATATAGAGAGAGAGAGAGAGAGAGAGAGAGAGAGAGACCTGGTCTTCTTGATCATCAGGGACAGCAGCAGGTAATGGGGTTTCTTCATCAATGGCTTCTTGAACAGCTGCTGAAACAGATAGTCTGTGAAATCTTTGAACGAGTGGTGTGGAGCTATTGCAGAAAGAGGAAGAGGGTTTATGAATCTTGAATAAAGATGGGGTTTTCAAGAATCCAACATTGGGATTCTGAGAAGGCAAAGATGGGGATGAAGTGAGACTGATCTTGATGCCCTGATGAATAGACATTGACAACATCTTGATTAATTTAGAGATTTATCAAGTTTGGAAAGAAATTATGATTTATGAGAACAGACACTCATACCCCCTTTGGATAAGAGGATCATGCTTTGCTGTTGCTGGCCAATGGCCAGACAACAAGCAAGAAGATGACTTATGGCCTGAGGCCCATCACTACAGGCCTATTCTATTTCTACGGCCCATTTCACTATTTTTTATTTTGTGATTTTAGTTTTAATAAAAAATGGACAGAATAAAAATTTGGCGGTCCCTTCTTGACCCCCAGGTCGTTGCTTTTTAATATCATTTTGCAATAAATTTGTAACAAAAATTATAAATTAATGGTTTTTTGTTTACATATAATATATTATGAGTCGGAGAATCTTTAATAAATTCTTTAAAAGTAGAGAATTTGTGGATTTTTGTTTTAACAAATTTTCTAAAATATCTTTTTAAATGGTAAAAACATAAAAAAGAAAATAAGAATCTCCAAAATAAAAATTTATTAAAAAATGAGGATCTCCAAAATGAAAATTTATTTAAAAATAATCATTTATGAGAGATAAATCATTTTTTATTAATTCTACTTATGAGATTATTTGAAAATAAATGTTTAAATAGATAAATGATATTCTATGAGATGTATTGAAATTTTAATAATATAATTAATCATGTAATCTTTAAAATATAAAATCTGTTAGAAGTAAAAGTATTTAGAGATTTTGATATTTTATAAAATTTATTAAAGAAAATCTCATAAACCAGAGTAATCATTCTTTCTGGTTAAATCTATACTATATTATAAAATATTTGACAAAACTCTTAAAACCTATTTTTATACATAAAATATTGTTTGTTGATGCATATTAATTAAAATTCAAGATTGCAAATAGATTGTGCGTAAGTAAAACTTATTAAAGTTTTATGTTTGACTTCATGTAACTAACTGCAGATAAACATAATTAAATATTAGATAAACATCTTATTTTAAATATAAAAAATCTAAMATATAATTARGATAATCATTRAGTTTTAACADAATATTTAATTATTATTTTATAAAAAATGTATTATTAAATAAAAAATAAATTAATTTATTATTAGACTTAAATTAAATTACAATAAAAAATTAAATTAAATAAATTATTAAGAAAATAAAAACTTTTAAATAATTACTTTGAAACTAATATTAAATATATATATTTCAAAATTTATATGATATCTTCAAATTTATATTTTATTTAAAAATAAAAAATTATTTCTTCATTAAAATTACATAAAATCGTATTATAATATCGATAAAGACATAATAAAACGAAACATTAAAAAATCGAAATGTATTTTGCTATATTGTGTGAGTACCCTTCTGGTGCATTGTCTAAAACAACGATTTTTATCAGCTGTAGAAAAGAAATTATTTGCAGATGAAGAGATGTCAAAGGGGCTTCTTTTGCTTTATATGATTATCAATCAAACTACGGCTAGCATGTGAAATGGGTGCATAATATATAAAAAAGTTAATTCAAAGTCTTTTTCTAATGGGCAAATTACATGAAAAAATAACGTACTTTAACTTGATTCATATTTTGGATAACATCTTTTCAAACTTCAATTTTGGTACCTAAGATGTAAAATTTTAAATATTTAAGTATCCGGGTAACCGGTTGAAGCATTAACCGGCTACCATGTTGATGTGACGATTAATATGCCATCTAACTCAATATTATTTGCTGACATTGATATCTTAATCTAAAATTAGTTTTTATGTATTTGAACCGGCTATCTAGATACTTAGATGTTTAAAACTTTGTATCTTAGATATCAAAATGAAATTGTTACTTAAAATATAAATCAAAGATAAAATATATTACTTTTTCATCTGATTTGCGTTTTTATAATCTCCTTTCTCCATCTATATAATTTTCATTATATTTGGAAATCAAAACATTTGATAACAATCTTCGATTTATGCAAATTTCTAAAAGGCAGTTTCTCTACGGGCAGTTCAAAACGTTGATACCGAGTCTCCTTTCCCTCTGTGGCAGTGAACGAACCCTCCGAATCTGACGAATCAAAGCGGAAAACGCAGTCCTTATCGCCGGTAAATTTTTTGAAGTTTCTCCGATCTCTTTCCGCTGTTTTCCCCTCTCTTTACACATATCTTTTTTTCTCTTGATTCATTATTTATTTAACCTTTCAAATTTCGATTTATGTAAAAATTAACACAACCTGTTTAGCCCTAGACGTGATGTTCTTGAAATTTTGATTATGTAATTGCTTAATTTCATGTGTCGGAGTATTTTCCGCTTCTAGATTTGTAATTCGAGGTTATGTCCAGATCTCACATTTGTTGCGGTTAACCGTTTTGAAGCATTTTAATTTGATGTACTGAATACAGCTAGTTCAACTGACATATATTTTTACGTCGTTAATTATTTGTTATATATCTTTATGCTGTTGGATTCCATTTCAATATTGTCAAACTGACGAGAAAGTAGAAATTAATATCGTTGATTTTCTCAGACTAGTGCTAGGATTGAACTGAAAAAATAATGTTCTGTGTTTTGTTGTGAAGATAACGCTTCCAGTGAATTTAATTTTTAGTTGAGAAGTAAATTAAGAAAACCCACATCATAATTGTCAGTTAGGTGCTGAATTTGATAATGATATGTCTGACTTTGTATGAATTTGACTAAAAATGCAGTAGTTTGTGAAGCTACAATGTCGATGGCTGATGAACCTTTGTACCCCATAGCGGTATTGATAGACGAGCTGAAGAACGATGATATCCAATTGCGCTTAAATTCCATTAGAAGGCTATCTACAATTGCTCGTGCTCTAGGAGAGGAGCGGACACGAAAGGAATTGATTCCTTTCTTGAGTGAAAACAATGACGACGACGACGAGGTTCTTCTTGCTATGGCAGAGGAGTTGGGGGTGTTCATTCCTTATGTTGGAGGAGTGGAGCATGCCCATGTGTTGCTACCCCCTCTTGAAACACTATGCACTGTTGAAGAGACATGTGTAAGGGACAAAGCTGTGGAGTCGCTATGCAGAATTGGAGCACAGATGAGAGAGACTGATTTGGTTGATTGGTTCGTACCTCTGGTTAAGGTTGGTTTAATTGGTTGATGGTTTATATCTTCTTCATTGATGGACATTTAATTCTGTTATCAAATTTTTTTGAATTTTGCTTCATACTTAGGTTTGTTAAGTTCTTATTTTTTAATGTCATTACTATCATGGTAATATTTTTTGCTTTAAACATCTGGTCATAATTACTGAGAAACATTTTGATTCTTACCTTTTTGTTCTTTTTGGAGATATGACATGCTTTCTGTTTATGCTTGCAGAGGCTGGCAGCTGGTGAATGGTTTACCGCTCGGGTTTCTGCTTGTGGACTGTTTCACATTGCTTATCCTAGTTCCTCAGAGACGTTGAAGGCAGAATTGAGGTCAGTATTTAGTCAGTTATGTCAAGATGACATGCCTATGGTCAGGAGAGCTGCTGCAACAAACTTGGGGAAATTTGCTGCTACTGTGGAGCCTGCTCATCTCAAGGCTGACATCATGCAAATATTTGAGGATCTTACGCAGGATGGTAAGTTATTTATTCCAAATGTTATCTGTTTGAAGTTCTAGATTGTTAGGCTCAATTTTCTGATGAACAATAACTGGTGATGACTGATGAACACAATGCATTACCTTACTTCCAAAATTGGAAATAACAAGGAATACATGAAAGTTGATTGTTGCTATGCTTCTGGGATCGAGGGATTAGTTGCCAAGCATAATTGCTACTGCTGAAGTTGTTAAGACTAACATGTATTTTCAGTAGTTCAAAAAATCATTTTTACCTAATACCTAGATACCTGATTTCCTAATTAAAAATTTATCTTATCTTGGCAATCTCAACTAGTAATAAGAAGTGGCATTATGACAATATAGGGATCTACATTTTCTCATGTGGCCTAGTGTTTTTGTTCTCCATCATATAGGCTAATGCATGTTTCTTTGCTGCTACCATTCCATGAATGTAAATGGCTCCCCTAGATATGGTTGGTGGAAGTTACATGCACACAAAAATCTCAAAATTTGTGCAACACTAGGAGATAATATTCACAGCTAACAAGTAGGCTAAACTCTAAAGTGATGAAAAGAGAGATGTTTGGATAGTTGCAGATTTCTATATCCATGGTTGGATGTCACACTCCTTCACGCTACCCTTTGACTTTAGCTATCAGCTGATTGATCGTCAACTAGAGATTTTGAGAAATTATCACTGTGATAGCTTTTATTATTGGGGTTCACATGTTAAAAGAAGGGGGATGGATTGCTTAATAGTTTTTATTCCTTCGCGTAATAGTTTTTTAGTATCGTAAAATGCAATATGGTATTTTCTCATCCATTGGTTATAATAGAAGGTATTATGATGAAAGCACATTTATATAATGAGTTGTTGGAAGAGATTAAAAAGCCATGTTTTATAGCATACGGCGATTAAGGTTGTTCCTGAATGCAGAATAGCAGCTATCCTATAATTTCTTCCTCCTACAATTGTAGGTTTTACTTTCCTTTTTTTTATTGGCTTTGTGCTCATTTTTTCTCTTTGCTACAGATCAAGATTCTGTTCGTTTACTAGCTGTTGAGGGTTGTGCTTCCCTTGGAAAGTTGTTAGAACCCCAGGACTGTGTTGCACACATTCTTCCTGTCATTGTTAATTTTTCTCAGGTGAGTTTTTAATTTTAAAGTTAAGGTAATCATTTATGTCTTAATGAGTTTTGTGTTAATTCCTTTCTCTTTTGATTTTGATAGTGCACTGTATTATGGACTAGCAAATCAATGTTCATACTTTTTTAAGTAATCTGTTTTCTAATGGTTATCATAAAAGCTTCATATTTTTTTGATTGTGTGGTTTGTAGTTTTGTATTGGCCTAGGCTTGCAAAGAGATGCTAATTGAAGCAAATTTGACACATGCAGACTTGAATTCGATGACTTAACCAAATTTAGAATTGATATCAGCAATTAGCATACCAAGTTGATTGGTCAAGTAATTTAAACCGGAGTATGATCCGAATTCTTTAAGGAAAGTCTGAGAATAGGAAGACTTCAAGAAGTCATGAAGATGAGATTTTGTATCCAAATCTGATCACGAAGATGATTGAAATTTTTTAGTTTCATAACTATAACATTTAATAAATGTCATCAAATTGGAAACTACAAATAACTACAAATTTCGAATGAAAACAATTCTCATGTGTCAGCAAAAAAGTTGACATTTTAATTCGGCACGAAATGACATGGAGGCATACATAATTGTATTATATTTACATTAATAGTGTATACATGTAAAAATGTATATTCTTATCATGAAATAAATACACCAATTTCCTTTTGGTATGTTCTAAAATTAATGCATTATATCCCATTTTGGCCAAGTTTCAATCACTACCGACCTCTTTGTTCATTAGGAACACTACAAAATTTTGATTGCATTGGTTTTCACTCAAAAGATTCTCCCTATTTTGCCATTACTATGGATTTATGTGGTATGTAGATTTCTGAGTAATAGTAAGATATTACTCTTAGCTATTGCCCAGCCAAACTTTGCATTTATATTTGGAATAATTTATATGGATATTTTATATTAGATAACAAGTATTGTATATGCATATTAACTTATTTTTAGTTATTCACGTGTTAGTCAACTGGATATTTTGTCAAACCAACTATAGAAACATCCAAAATCATATTAGGTTAGTGCTGTGTACAAATATGCATTAAAGTTTGTATTTATTAGATGCATATGTTTTCAAACAAGTTATCCAAACCATTTACAGGCCTAATACATTATATGCTTTCTGATTTGTAATTTTTCTGTCTATGGGAACTGCAGAGGAGCTATTGCTAACCGACTTTGACTAGTTGCAGTTAAATTTGGTTTTTAAGTAGGAGAGTATTATCTGACTGAACTGTGGTTTTCAAAAGTCGCAAATTTGTTATCATATTATAAAACATATGATAAAGTGATCTATTACTAGATAAAGGATGTTTACCTTTTAATTTTGTAAAATTTCGTTATTTAAGCAATACTTCATTGTTATGCTTTTTATACATTTTAAGTGGTCTTTTATATAGGATTATGGTAATACATCTCTTCAACTAGGAATGTAGTACTAAGAATACGAAAATGTAGGTCGGTTTCAATATCATCTGCCTCTTTCATTGTAATGTCTTGGCATAGGATCTAGCGTTGATTAAATATTCAATGGTTTGTTTTCTTTTTCTCTCATTGTCCCTTTTCTTTTACCTTTTCAGTAACACCGAGTATAAGTTTCCTACTATTGTATTTCATTCCTATTATTTTATTTGTAAAAAGGATTTTATTTGCAGCCAGTTTTTCATTTCTCTCTTTCTATTCCTGTGTACTACCATTTTCTTTGCTTGCTCGATCAAACACAACCACACTGCACTGCTTCTCTCCATTTCCTAGTTTATTACTGCTTTTTAGAGTATCTATATGTCCAAATATACTGCTTCAAAGCACTTACTATTTGAATGATTTATCTTAAATCAGGACAAGTCTTGGCGTGTTCGCTATATGGTTGCTAATCAGTTGTACGAACTATGTGAAGCTGTGGGCCCTGAACCTACTAAGTATGTTCGAATCTGAAGCTGTTTCTTCTTTTAATATTTTCACTGCAGAAGTCTTTATGCATTTCAAACATGAAACACCATGCTTTGTTGAATAGGAGCAAGTATACGTGATCTTTGATTCAGTTATATATGTTAATTTGATTGCTTTTGTTGGCTAATCACTATTTCTTTCCTCTTATAATGTTCAATTTTTGTCTGGTTGTGATAGGACGGACTTGGTTCCAGCATATGTGAGGCTACTTCGGGACAATGAAGCTGAAGTACGTATTGCAGCTGCTGGAAAGGTCACCAAGTTCAGTCGGATTCTTAATCCAGAACTTGCAATTCAGCATATTCTTCCATGTGTAAAGGTATGATGTTTACTAAATTTCCCCTTCTTGGATATTTATCTCTCATTGTTTTGTTGTATCCTTGGATTTGGAAATCTTAATTCTTCCAAGAAAATTGTGTAGGAGTTATCATCAGATTCTTCTCAGCATGTTCGGTCTGCTCTGGCTTCTGTTATAATGGGCATGGCCCCTGTTCTAGGAAAGGTAATAAAATTTGCATTTATTTCTTCAAAGAATTGTTTGATGATTTTTTTTTTCTGGTGTACAAATACATCATACATTCATGTGAAAGAACTGTTATGAAGATGAGTTACTAAGATCTTTGAGGTCTTTCATTTATCATGCCTATGTGGGACTCAAAATTTTGAAGCCAGCTTGCGACATCATTTACGATGTATCTTTGGTTGTATTGTTAAAATATTATTGTGGCCCGACCCTGGTTTGAAGCAATCCCTCTGGTTCTAGACGATTTTGTGTGCAATCTGTAAATGATGCTTTAGCAATTGATTAAGCGGTCAGCCTACATGCTGCATGCATCCATTTTATCTTTTCTGCTGAGCATTAAGTGATGGTATTGCGCATCTGTCAATTGAATGTTATTTTTGGGCATTCTCCTTTTTTGGAGTAAATTCCAAAACTATGCTAGTTTTTTAACCTTGTTCAAAAAATATGTTTGATTTGTTTCATTATCCAAACTATGCTTTTGAATAGAACATAAAAATTAGGAAATTAATACTCTCTCCATATCCCTTCTCCTTCCCCATGATGAACTCTCGGTGGCAAGTGGTCACGCAGTCAAGGGCTCAAGGAGAAGGGGGAGAGGAGAGAGTAAAGCATGGTCTTGGAAGATGAACTAAAACAAACATATTTTTCGAACAAGATTTTTAAAACCAGCATACTTTTGGAATTTACTCCCTTTTTTATGCTGAGATTTTTGAGGGCATGCATTTGTATGCTTGAACTATTTCATTCTAATTTCTTGTTGTTTGCCATTGTTATCTTGCTACCACCATTGTTATTATGCCTATTTGCTGGTTAATCTTTTCATATTTCACTTGGTGGAAATCAAGATACTTCTTTTGGAAAAAGGATAAAGGTGAGTTGTTATTTTTCAAGTATTAAATGTCAACCTTCTAGAGTACTTATGTGTGGTTTATTTTCCAGCCTCAAATTATTTGATCTGTACTGTCACGTATGTGCTGTTGATATTTTTGGCTATTGCGAAGTTTTGAGTGTTGGTAAATTGCAGGATGCAACGATTGAGCAACTTCTTCCTATATTTCTTTCACTTCTAAAGGACGAGTTTCCAGATGTACGCCTCAATATTATTAGTAAGCTTGATCAAGTGAATCAGGTATGTTGTTGAAGGGGCTGTCAATTATGTAGGAAATTTAAAATCTACTGTCATTTATATGCCTCATTCTTAGCGTTCCACTATTTGAAGGAATTGTATTCAAAGTAGTATCAGTAGGGGACATAATTAGCAGTGCATACTGCTTGATGCTATCCTTCGGTATTAGTCTTTTTAAGGGCTAAAGAAAAGGGAACATCTTAGTTATCATGGAAAGGAGACAGCCACTAAGAAGGCAAAGCAAGAACAAGGAACATATTATGTTCTACTGTTTTGAAGCCTAATAAAAATTGGCCACAAATTTAGCTATTAATATCAAATATCTTTTACTTTCACACAAGAAATACATGAACCAATTAGAGCTTAGGGTCGTTTAAGCACTGCTTGCTAATACTGAAAACATTCATGTATGAATATGAATAGTTATCCTGGGAACTGAGTTCCTCTTCCCCTGGAATACAATGAAGTTATTTGCACCAGAAACATTCACGAATTTTTTAGTTCACTTTGTAAGGGAAAATTGCTTTGAAGTTTCAGTTCACAGGAAAGGGCTGTTATTATTATTGGGATTTAGAAAAGAAAGAGAGAAGATTGCATTGATTCAGTAAAAAGAAAAAAAAAAAAATCTCTTTCAAGTGGGATTCAGAAAAAAGGGAAAAACATCCACGTTACATTTTTTTACTGGTTCCTAGTCTGCATTTAATGAGCAAGTAAATTAGAGATTTAGCTGTTTAATGTAATGAACCCTTATTATTATCTTGTCTCTTCGGTTGTTCCTCACCCGAACACCCTTGTTTCTGGATGGATTAATGTACATGGTTTTATTTGATGTTCTGTTTGGACTTGTTTTTTGTCTTCAAATTGTTCATGTTAGCTGTTGTTACAGGTTATCGGAATCGATCTTTTGTCCCAATCTTTGTTACCAGCAATTGTTGAACTTGCGGAAGATAGGCATTGGAGGGTTCGTTTGGCAATTATAGAGTACATACCCCTATTGGCTAGTCAGTTAGGTGTAGGATTCTTTGACGATAAGCTTGGTGGTCTCTGCATGCAATGGTTACAGGACAAGGTTAGTGCTTCACAGTCTGGATGGTAAAATAGTGGAATTTACTTAACATGTGATAAAGTCTCGGGAAAATATCTCCAGGGAATATTATAGTTTTCTGTTATGTTAGGTTATTATGATCCCCTCTTTTTTCATCTGTCCCCGGAAATGTATGCCTGGCTTACAGTAACTGGTTAATTTTGCAGGTTTACTCCATCAGAGATGCTGCTTCTAATAACTTAAAACGCCTTGCAGAGGAATTCGGTCCAGATTGGGCTATGCAGCACATCGTCCCACAGGTTGACATTCAATTGCACTTTACTCTGTACCAACACGTTATTTAGGAATGCAGTTTTTAGTGCAATTATATGTCTTGTATCCTTAGTTTTAATGGAAACAACTATTTTTTATACCTCCTCCATCTCATATGACTGCAAAGATTTCCATTCTGAAACGTCCCTTCATTTTTGGGAAAATTTGCAAAGATAAAATTAAATTGTCATCATTGCAGATTATGTATGTATTTATCTTGTCCACAACTGGTTCATTATTGAAGGTTGTCTTTTCAACTATGTTCCCAGTCAAATGTTAGTTTTTTTGGATGGGAATATATATATATATAACTTTGCAGTTAATGGCAATCAGTGAGTCCTCTGTACTTTCTTTTGACGAAGTTGATACAGGATTAAATGGCAGATGTCGTAGCTGGAGTCTTGTACTCTTATTCCCATCTGATTAGGATGGGAAATTTCAAATAAGAACTATGAATATTTTGAGAACCTCGGAACCAACTATTTCATATGATGGATAACCCTGAATAATCATGTATTTTCATTATGAGTAATTTTCATCATGATAATCTATTATGACATTCATCATGAACATAACATTAGTAGTTGGTTCTAAAAATACTTACAGTTTTCATTTTAACCTGCCCCTGATTAGGAATACCTTATGCACGGATGTATGAATTTACTATGCGTAATTTTATGTATTTTTTTCCTTGCAGGTCCTGGATATGATTAACAACCCCCATTACTTGTATCGCATGACAATTCTTCGTGCTATTTCTCTACTTGCCCCTGTTATGGGATCAGAAATCACTTGTTCTAAATTGCTTCCTGTAGTTGTTAACGTCTCCAAAGACAGGTAGGTAATTGCATTTTTTTAGTGCTGTTTTTCCTTTCCTTTCTTGTTTCTTATGTTTAATTCGTTTTTTTTCTTCAGAGTGCCGAATATCAAGTTTAATGTGGCAAAGGTCTTGCAATCGCTAATTCCTATAGTTGAGCAGTCTGTAAGTAGCATTATCCTTTTCTGTTCTCTTGATCGTTTCTTTTTTAGTGTTTTCATTACATAAACATTGTGAATTTATATATCGTGCAGGTGGTAGAGAAAACCATTCGGCCGTGCCTGGTTGAGCTGGCAGAGGACCCTGATGTCGATGTTCGTTATTTTGCCAGCCAAGCTCTTCAATCCATTGATCAAGTCATGATGTCTAGCTAGATGAAATTCATGTTGTGAAATTTTGTGTTTGAAGGTGCTTTATAATAGCTGCTGCATCTCCTCATCTCCTGTGTTTATTGTTTCTAGTGTTATTTTCTTTCATGAACATGTCACGTCGATGTCCATTGTTGTAATATTAAAATGTTCTTTTTTTCTTTCTTTCTAAACATCGAAAACTTTGATATCATTGGCCATTATATCCTCTTGTCTATCGTTATCATCCCCTTTTTAAGACGGTTTAGCACGAAAACAAGGTTTTGGTAGACGGTTACGGGTTGAATTCAGTGTCAAATGTCGAGCTGTTTTGCTAATTTTGGGTTGAAGATGCCTGTGGGATTACATCTCCGAGAAAATTGGCGTTTTCTGAATTATATGAAGCCAGTAAGCAAACAGCGAATCCAACAATTCTTTAAAATGGAGAAAATAAAAATTTGGGTAAATTTTATTTGAACAGATTCTCCAGAACTTTCTTCAAAATGGAGAAAGCCGGAGAAAGCATGAGAGCGCATGAAATTTTTCTGCATTCGGAGGACTTCAAAAAAAAATGATTACCATGAAAGAAACAATTTTCTATTATTTTCTCAACAATAAGAAGCATTAACCACAAGAGTGGTGTCTGATTGGTTTGAGCTTGGTTCCAAAGATCAAAAGTGTCTGGAGGTCTCAGGTTCAAATCTAAGAAAGAACAAAAATCTCTTTGTGGCCACGGAGGTTCAAATGCGATGACTCCGGGCTACCTGTAAAACAGGTGATCACCCTGGGATTAGTCGGCTCGTATAGCGGGTTAGATATCCAGGTTAATAAAAAATACATTAGTGTTAAATGTTTACGAGAGATATAATATTTTAGTATATGTATAAAAATAATTTTTTTCAAATAAAATTAATATTGTAATCTTTGAAATATTAAATCAGTTGAAGTTGAATGCAATTTCTTTTTAGAGATTTTGAGTCTTGATTCTCCATTTTGAAGGATTTGTAGGAGATGCTCCATCGCTATTGTTCGTATATTACCTTTTTAATGTGACCCTTCTATTTTGTACTAGCAGTTTAGAAAATGCGTAATTTTAATGGTTGATAAGGGAACTCTACCGTGAGACATGAAACACGTCCCTTGAAATTTTTAGGTCTCAATTATACATGTTTTAGCCCAAGAATAATGTTTTAGGCTTTTATTCTTTTACTTGATTTTGACAATTCATGATTTCGACTTTAATGGAATATTAGAAAAATGATTCTAATTATATGAATTTCATATGTTACTTTGTGATTTGAAGACGTATATGTTGTTTCAATTTGTAAAACTTTTAATGTAATATATAATATGAATTTTTATATTTTATTTTATTTATTAGCCGTCTAGTCCATCTACAGTTATAATTCATATGTAACAAGACCTCCAAAAAATATAGAAACGACTTTAATGGTTGAAGACGTACGTTTTGTTACTATGAATATAATGTATAGAACAACTTTTAATGTATAAAATGCGAAACTTGTGGAAATGAGCAAACAAAAGGAGAAGGAACAAACAAATATCATATGGATTTTGATCTAATAATATTATTTTATCAAACATTTATCGGGTGTCATCTACCTTACCGGATGAACATGGTAAAAACCGATAATCTTATTCGGTAAAGAGCATAACAAGGACCGGGAATCATACCCAGTAGTTGATTTTCGAGAATGTTACTCGATAAGATAAATAAGAGTGATATCTTTTATTGATAAATGTCCCGATAAACATATAGTAAACAACCCTTTAGTTATTAAGTTTCTTTAAAAATATTTATCAATTAAACTTCTAGAAAAGAATAAGAAGAAAACTAGTATAATCTATGAAATTATGCTAGTTCTCAATTTTTCCTTATTTACAATTTATTAGTCAACCAAAAAAAGTCAAATTAGTAATCCAGGTATCGAAGAAATCGACTCCTAACGTTATTGATCGCAACATTACAAATAATGTAAGCAAAATACAAATTAATTTTATATAAAAGAAACAAATCTAATAAGTTAAAATTATGGACTTTATTATTAACCGCTTCATTTATTTATGAAATCATATTCATATATTTTATTATTTAACAAAATTAAAAATTCATGAGATTACGTTTAATTTGATAAATTACTTATTATTCTGTTATTTATATACTCGTGATAATTTATTAAACATACAAATCAATAAAATTATAACCTTATTGTAGTTTTCACCTTTGACACAAGTATTTACTTGGTCCTCCTCGGTCATACTTGCATATACTCTTGATTTTGATATTTAAAATATGTTCATTAGTAAAGGGTATTTTAGTCATTTGATCATAATAAAATGCGTTAATTAGGTGGTTTTAGGGTAAGCGTAGAGGATATATATATATATTCCTTGCACAAATTGAACGATGTGAACAACCCACATAAAATTCAAACAATGGATCCAAAATAAACCAAAACTTTCTTCAATCACCTCTCACTATTTATACGATAAACACTTAATTTTTGCCATCCATAACCTTTCTCCATCTAATGACTTCCATTGCCAATGCCCAAGAACTCGAATACGAAGATGGAGGCTATGAATCTTTCTATGTTGAGCTTGAAAGACAAATCTTGATGTTGACTGATGAGTATGACGAGAGAGGTTTTTTGGGTATTACAAAGAAGCATAAAGGGTCCCCGTTGGTTGCAAAATGGAGATCCAATGGTATGAGTCAACCAGAGAGATATTTTTGTTGGATTGAAAAAAATGAGAGCGGTGACCGAGACTCAATACCTACTTGGTTAGCAGACTTATGGAGAAACAGTAGCAACGGAACCGGAGTGTTCATTCCGCGTATTATGAACTCTACAAGAAGAAATACGTCAAGTAAGTTGTATTATCACTTTTCTTGTTTAAAATATTAGGATACAACTGTACTTACTCTAAGTTTCAACCTAAAGCCAACTAATTACGAGTGCCTTTTAAATAATTTTTACATAAACTTCTCAAATTAACAGTATTTTTTTCAATGTAAAATTGAGATTTGAATGCTGAAAGAGCAGACTAATTTTATAAATTTTCTAAGTATGGTTATACATGTGGTGTAGGAAGGAAAAACAATAACAAAGGAAAAGTTTACACGATGGTTATGAATTAAAGGCGAAACAATGACGATCATGTTGACGACGTGATCAAAAGATCGGTCATAAACTTCCGTTCTATCAAAGCGATGTTTTGTATTGTATGCCAATTATAGGATTTGTGAATCGATTCTTTCATTTGTTTTGTAGATAATTTACATATTTGTAATGTAATTCAAACAAGAAGTTAATTCATCCATAAGTTTTGTTTCTTACTGATATTTTTTTATTCTCAATGTAATAAATTGTCTATACAATCTGCCATTAATGCAATAAGTTCTGTTTGTGCTGTGATTATCTGTCATAATATTATCAGTAACCAGTACTGTAGAGAAACATGCTATACGGTCTTTTTTGCATGTTGTTAAGTTGTTAGTTTTCCGTTTGAAATGTCAACAATATTTTAAAGACTAAAAGAGTACAGAGAAAGCGAAAAGTTACACCCAAAGCTTCTACAAGGTGATAAACACAAGAAAAACACCCACCCAAATAAAGGAACGAAACTACCAAACAAGACTACAAAACCCACAAGACGTAAACACCAATGATCGACAAAACACGGCCATTTATTGTGAAAATATAAATATATAAATACTAATTTTTTGTTAAAATAATTAAAAACATATAAAAATACAATAATGCATTTTATTTATTTTACCATTTCTCAAATAAAGTAAAATCGTATTGCTGAAAAATCCATTTTAATGGAATTCAGACGTGAATGATGCCCAAAATGGATGATTGGGGGTTGTTTGACAATTGCTGAATGAGTTGGTGCAAAATGATTAAGTAGTCAAAATGATTAAAAGCTCTCATGATATAATGCAAAATAAAATATAATTGTTTGATAATTGTGTACAATACAATTAGGGTTTTTAATGGTTAAGGGAGATCCAAGATACAAAATCATTCAGAGGATTTTAGAACCATTAAGAGGTAGACTATTTTTTTGCCAAACAAGATTCATCTCTTAACGATTCAAATGTTGCATCTTAATGGAACTATTAAGAGGTAAACAAACAACCCCTTAATGAACATATTTTGTTAATTAAAATAAATTTGCATTTTATTGATAAAAATATAGAAATATACATCAATCAGTCGGCATCGATATTTATATATGAAGCTTAATTTTCGAACCATCATATTAGACTTTTCACAACTAAAATAATATTATTTTTTTTGTTTCTTAACTAATTCTTTATATATGCTTTTACGGAAATTTACTAGAAAATATATCGTCTTTTACCAAATCCCTCTTTCTCGTTAGTTTCTCTATCGCACACATGTGTGCATATATATAATTTATTAACCTGATTATTAAAATTTTAATCACTAATACATTCACACGTTATAATATACGTAACAGCTCGTCCAATATGAATAAAAAATGAGATTTATAATCTTTTTATAAGTTTAAAGTTGTGTACTATCAATAATTTCCACTATAATTTTAAGTTGGATTCAGTATTATTATGTGGTTTTAGATTTGAGGTGATACATAATTAAGGAATTATAACCACAATTGTGGTCTTGGTCGTGCAAAAGACTTGCGGACTTGTAATTTGGTTGAACCAACATTATATTTGTTGACTTGTTGAATTTAAGTAAACGATTTAATTGAATGGCCACAAATGGAGTCCACGTACTCCTCAATCATATCGCTTCCAATCGGAAGCTTAACCTTCACCCACATCCCACCTTCCATCAACCCACCCTCGTTGACCATATCCATACCCATTATATATATATATATACATACACACACCCTATATATAATACATATATACAATCATTCCATTTTCCACTATATATATTCTTCCAATTATCACCTTCTTATATATTTATTTTTCTCGAGTGCTCTTGCATAAACATATATGGATTCATCCGCGGATGCTTCAAGTCGCTTTGATGCAGACGACAACGCCTTTTACGAACAACTAACACGGCAAATATTGATGCTTACGGATGAAGATGACGACAACACGGGAATGTATAGGAAAGGTGTGATACGGAAGCCTGTGGTTTATGGTCATGGTCATGGTGGACCGAAACTTGAGCCGATGAAGTATTACAGTTGGTCAGAGACCGGAAGATGTTCGGTCCCTAGTTGGATGGAAAGCTTGTGGGCCAAGGGCGGTGGTGGTGGGACCGGAGTTTTCATACCCACTGCTCGAAGCAATGGTAAGAGGTCCGGGAGGAGAAGGTATAATGATAAGGCGAAGAGGAATAATGACAGAGACAGAATGCATTCGGGTGTTGGACAAAAGATACATGGTTAATTACATGACCGATTTATTTATTTATTAAAATAACATATATACGAATTAATAAAAGTTCAATTCCTTATATGCACATATTTGCATCCCTTTGGTTGAAATGCAAATTTGATTGTTGTTTGACATTTTTTTCCTTTTAAAATATGTTTTTTTATCTTATTTTTGAAATGCTATAAATATAAATGATCAGGGATAACAGATATTTTGGGATTGTTTGTTTACTTCTTAATAGTTCCATTAAGAGACAATTTCTGAATCCCTAAGAGGTGAATCTTGTTTAACAAAAAAATGTATGACTCTTAATGGTTCTAAAACCATCTGAATAATTTTGTATCTTGGGCCTACCTTAACCATTCAGCACCCTAATTTCATTCTGAATAATTACCAAACAATTATATTTAATTTTGTACTATATTATAAGAGTAACTTAATCATTCTACATCAAATCATTTAGTAACTGTCAAACGACCCCTTAATAACTTATGGATAATAAAATCCATTATTTTATAATCAATATTAATTAGATAAATTTATGGTGATTAATTACCCATATTAACAAATAATTAATCCACTATCATATATTATTAAAGTGAACTACGAATTTTCATCCTTGTGGTTTGTTAATAATTGTCATTTTCGTCCTTATAGTTTAGAAATTATGATTTTCGATGATTTGTAATTTATTGACTATTTTCGTTCTTGAACTAATTTGTATCTTTAAGCATAAGGGAATAAAACAGTAAGGGGCCGCTTACCAAACACTTACCTGGTAAGAGCTTACCGGTAAATTTAACACTATCATTTACTTACCTGATAAGATTTTAATCCACCAAAACAGTATCATATGCAATAATTTATTCGGTAAGCGTTTACCCCGATAAGCGGGTAAGCGTTTACCGTGGTAAGAGTCGTTGCCTTCATTTATTAGGTAAGACTTTTGGTTCTTGTCTCGCTCTTACCGGGTAAAGTTCTTGATCCTTACCATATTCATTCGATAAGGTAAAATGACTTGGTGTTCACTTACCCGAGTAAGCATTTGGTAAACGCCCCATAAATAATTGTAAATTACAAGAACCAAAACAATAGTAAATTATAAACCATAAGGATGAAAACTGTAATTTTTAAACCATAAGGATAAAAGTTGATTTTTTAATAAACCATAAGGATGAAAAACGTTTACTTTTATTACTGTAAAATGTAATTAGACTCGGACAATCTGGACCAGGCCGACGCCCGACAGATTTGTTTGTGTGTGGTGGTTTGGGTCTGATCCAACGCATGACCCGATCCATAGGAAAATAACACGTCAGATGGTGTCAACGGTAAAAAAGAAAATAAAAAACAAATACATTTCCCTCTATCTTGGATCGGCTCTACCATACCGCTGTCTACCATCGTCCCTCTGCTCCGGCGAACGTCAACATCGGCCGGCGTTGGGGACCACCTCTGTTGCGGCGTCGGTGAACGCTACTGTACCGGACCTGCTGTAACCTTCTCTAGTGGGTTTCAATATGTTGGAATATTTTAGTAATGTTTGTTCATTTGAGAATCATGTATTTAGTTGATTTGTTGAATGCGATGCTGAAGTTCGTTTTTAATGTATGAATTTGAAAATATTCGCTATGATTCGTGAGAGTATGCATCAAGGTCCTTGGAAATGTGATTTTGAGGTGTTTGATGAAACCCTAATAGGAGGCAAATTGATCAAATAACCTAACGCTCACCTTTCACAAAAGAAGGTAGGCTGAAATCAGCTTAGGTGCCTTTCGTTAGGAAAATTAACAGTGTAAAACAGATCGATAAAAACAGTTTAGGGCATTTTTTGTTGGTATTCGCATGATCGTAATTCAGTTACTGAATGTGGACAAATGGTTTTTCTGATCATGTTTTTTACTCTGAATTTAATAGGCGGTATTTTCAATGAGTCTCGTTGATGGTTCGCCACTGAACTCATCAAGCAGTGATGATTTTGCCGCATTTCTGGATGCAGAGTTGGATTCCACTTCTGATACTTCTCCTCGACCAGAAGAAGAAGAATATGATGATGATGATGATGATGATGATGATGATGATGATGATGGCGATGGTGATGGTGATGGTGATGGTGGTGGCGATGATGATGGCGATGATGATGGTGGTGATGATGACGATGATGATGATGAGACTTATAAGTCACATATTGAAAGGTAAGTAATAACATAGTTCCACTCATCTAATGTTGCATTAAGAGCTAGACACCAACATATTCTTGCATCAAACTTTTGTACATAAAGAAAGCTAAGCATGATATGTTTTGTGAGAGAGAAGGTCTAAGGAGTCTTTACTGTCTTTAGCGAGATTGTACTCTTAATTTTATGGTCATTAACATGTTACTGAGATTGATCTCTCACGTATGCTTTCCTCTTAAGGGATTAGTGGGCTTATCTTTGCAATGTTCATTGCTGGCTTGCTGCGCATTGTACATTATGTCTCTGGTTTAAGCAACTTACGGATACGAATAATGATTAATGGGTATTAGGGTGGTGTTGATGGTTCCTGGGATACAATTGGAAAGGAAGAGGCATTAGAACCTGTGACTAAGGTGGTATTTTGTATCAACCTAGTGGAAGCTCTAGTTTTAACCTTTATTTGGTACTTCCTTCAACTTATTATTATGTGTAGTTTATTGCTTGCTTTATCAATAACTAATAATGGATTTGGAAGACAAAAGGGAAGGCTTTGTTTTTCTTATTTTTCCATTCATCTCTCCAACTTATTCATATGAAATTTATGAGCAAAAAAGATATAAATGGATACCAGAGTATCAGGTCTTAAAACATCTCTAGTTCAGCATCTCCAAACCTGATCATATGTTTGTTTGATTTTTGTGATGCTTGAATGCAATTGATGCGCATCAGCTTGCTTCTTGATGAAGTTTAGCATCTATACTGGAATGAGTTGTTTCAGTTTGGGTCTGAATCCTCAGTATGCATTAGAATCTTTGGGTGTCCATCTTAAATATTTAATCGAGGATATTCTGGATATTCTGGTATATACTACCTGTCCCATGAAAAAAAAAGCAACAATATGCATTTTTGGGATGTTCCTCTCCCGAACTAATTGCAACCTTATGTTCTTTCTTTCTTGCTTTCTTTCTTGTTTGTGCGTGTATGTGTGAACTTTAGCTGAAATTACCTGGTAGTGCTTTATGATATCAATTCTGGTTCAGATGATTTATTTTGTAAACTAAAAGTTAATTTGGAACATTTTCACCTCTAGTATGTCATGGTGGAATAGACATTTGGATAATAGTCAAAATGCTTTTGTGAATCAGCATGTGATCATTGTTGCAAATTTCGTAGGATGGAGGGAAGCCACTATGAGGAGTAACTTATGAATTTACGGCTTTCTTTTGTGTATGGATGTTTCAAATTTGAAAAGTTGTCATCTATTAGATCTAAATTTGATCTGGAGGGAGTAAAATGGATTTTCTTTCTTGTTAACGATTTCAGCAATACCCCTTTTATTCAAATTTCCGTATGATCTTCAGATAAAAGGGCTAGCATTTTAAGATGAATGATGAATCTAGACAGTTTTATGCTCCTTCTGATGCTTACTGAGATTTTCGAATTTATTTAAGTTTGACTTGAACAAATTTCAATCATTGTGGTTGTTTCTAAACAGTTTGGTCTTCCACAGGGCAAAGAGGAGGAAGGTCGGTGGATTGGAAAGTACCAAAGAACCCAATGGTTCAACAACTCATATAGACCAAGCAAAAATTTTAGGTGACACTTCTATTCTATTGTGTATATAGTAGTTTGAATCATCTTTCTTCTACATGAATGAATTAGAGCACGTGTCACCAGAAAAAGAAAAAGAACTACATTAAAAAGCAAATAGATTACCCCACTACCTAGGGTTCTAGATGCAGTCTTCAGCACATTATCTAACCTTAGGCTGTAATGTGTTTTACAAATAAGTTTTTTGTTAATTATTATGTTCAGAAGCATCAGTGAAGGTGGATATATGCACACATCCTGGTTTTATTGGAGGAATGTGCATAAGGTGTGGAGATAAAATGGATAGTCAGTCTGGCGTTGCATTTGGATATATACACAAGGTTATTATTCTTTTATAAAAGCACATGTCATCGCTATGGCAAATTCCTTGAACTGTATAACCAAGGAATCCTCTGATATTGCAGGATCTGAGACTTGCTAATGATGAAATTGCTCGACTGCGTGATAGAGATCTAAAGAATTTGTTACGCCACAAAAAGCTTTACTTGGTTCTTGATTTAGACCACACCTTGCTAAACTCAACCCGGTTTTCAGATGTAACTCAAGAAGAAGGTTATTTACTGAACCAGGATGATCCTATGCAAGGTATATCTAACAGTAATTTTGTCTTTCCTTGCTTATAAATATTTGTTCCCATGAAAGTAATTTGTATTGGTAGGATTTGTTGAAGTGTCATCATGATTGTTTCTAAACAAGTCTTCTTTAGCTTTTTGCGCATAAAATTCTGGAGTTTTACTCTCAACTCTCAATTCTATATGTGTAGGGAGAAAGATGTTGAGCGTTTTCCTTCTAAAAACTGAAATGATATTTGAACCATAACCGTATAACTTTGCTATGTTCATAATCTGTAATGACAGATAAACTGAGAGGCAGTCTATTCAAATTGCCATTCATGCACATGGTGACAAAGTTGAGGCCGTTTGTTCACACTTTCCTGAAAGAAGCAAGCAATCTGTTTGAAATGTACATTTACACCATGGGCGAGCGTGCTTATGCGTTAGAAATGGCGAATCTGCTTGACCCCGGAAAGGTTTACTTTGACTCTAAAGTGATTGCTCAAGGTGATTGCACTCAAAGACATCAGAAAGGCCTTGATGTTGTAATGGGGCAAGAAAGTGCTGTTCTGATCCTTGATGATACAGAACCGGTAAGCAAAACAACTATCATCATCTATCACTTCAGAACAATAAAGATATTTTGTGTTTATGATTATACAGGCCTTATACCAAGGTGATTTTATAGATGGCTTTTACTTGCATTGTTAGGTATGGGTGAAGCACAAGGATAATTTGATTTTGATGGAAAGATATCATTTCTTTGCCTCAAGCTGTAAACAATTTGGCTACAACTTGAAGTCACTTTCTGAACTGAGAAGTGATGAAAGCGATGTTGATGGTGCTCTTGCCACTATTCTTAATGTGCTTAAGCGAGTCCACAGTATGTTTTTTGACCCGGTATGTGCTGATAATTTACTGTCACTTTTTACCAAACCATGATGTGATTTGGGAGCTCGGTTTTAATGATATTCTGTCTTACACAATAGGAACTCGGGGATAATTTTGCAGGCCGAGATGCAAGGCAGGTAGATACCATATGATTATATCTACTGTTTTTCACACACTCAGCTGATCCACACGCATACACACCTATAAAAAGAGAAAAGAGGGAAAACATTCATCACTTCCATTATTATTAATGCTAAGGTGGTTGTGCCAATCATAAGTTGTTTCTTTGTAGAAAGTTCATTTAGGAATCTAGATATTTTGAGGACAGTGAGAACCTGCTATTCATGAATTATTCATGATGAATATACCTATTCATGAATATCATGCATTTTTATTATTCATGATATTCATCATGAATAACTATCACGATATTCATCATGAATAGTTGGTTCCTACGGTTCTCAACTGAACATGCCCCTTGTTTCTTTGGTCTTGTAAACATCAAATGATCAAAAGGTACCCATCAGAATTGTTAATCTGCCTGATTATTATTATGTCAGATGCTGCAAGCCATTCGCAGGGAGGTTTTGAAGGGCTGTAAAATTGTGTTCAGCCGTGTTTTCCCAACAAAATTCCAAGCCGAAAATCACCATCTGTGGGTGATGGCAGAGCGATTAGGAGCGACATGCTCAACGGAGGTTGACCCATCAGTGACACATGTCATTTCCACAGATGTTGGAACCGAGAAATCCCGTTGGGCAGTTGAGGAAAATAAGTTTTTGATCGAACCACGATGGTTGGAAGCTGCAAATTTCCGATGGCAGAGGCAACCTGAGGAGAAGTTTCCTGTGAAAGAGGTAAAAAAAGACAACCATTAATCTCTCTCTCTTGTTGACCAGATGTTGTAGACCAGATTATTAGGTTAAAGTCTTGGATAGAAAGTTGTGGTTTTTGGTATAGGTGATTAGTTAGAGGGACAAGATCACAATATCATATGTTTGCATCCAAATTGTATGGTGAAATGAGAGTTGTCTTGTACAGGATTTTTGTTGGTCAAACATATTTTGATGCATTTAAGTAACTTATGAACATGTTTTTCTGTTTTGTTTGGGTGAAATCATGGTCACTTTCTTTCACTAATACTAGGAAGGTGTTCATTGTTGGTCTTATGATCCTTCTCCTAGCCATATCCATAGATGGGCCTCTGGCACCAGTTAAGGTCACACTGGTTTGAGACGGGTCACTCCGGAATGGTTAGAGAAATTTATACGAGGGCCGGTTAAGGACCGGTCTAATGAGGTTTGGTTAGAGTGACCGGTCGGAACATATGCTCTAAGAACGATCGTCTAGGGCTATTTCCTTGAAGTTGGTTCATTTTGTCTGCTTAGGATTATAGATCGTTAATTGTATTCAATATTCAAGCTTGATAGTTCCTAAACTTGTTTTTAGTCTTTGGACTTACCCATATAAAATAATGACCCCCTTCGATTCTTCTGCATGACTTTTGTGGTAAAAGTAGACACTTTTTATTCGTATAAGTATAAACCAAATTCTTTTCTTTATAATAAGATTTCTTTAGCTAATTATTCCATCATTAGTTGATGATGCAAAGTAACCTTTTCGGTTGTTGGTTGTGATTGTATATGGACCCACTTAATGTCAGACTTTGATGTGCATTTCCATTTCCAATGGAATCTTTTCCATATAGTCGAGAAATAAAATGGGTTTTAAGAATTATACTGTAAGTGTTTATCGGGTCATTTACTTTATCAAATGAACATGACAAGGGTTGGAAATCTTGTACGTTAAAGCGATGATAATGATGGAGGGTTTTACCTGGTAAATGAGGGTGACGACTCTTACCCGGTAAACGCTTATCGGATAAATGGTTGTACATAGTATCATTTTGATCGACTACAATCTTCTTACTCGTCAACGCTTACCGGGTAAGTGTTTGGATGTAACACCTAGCCCAAAGCAACGAACAACCCCAATAACTTCAAATCCAACTTAAAACCATGCTGCAAGTTATTGGTAGCACACTATTTGAGACTTATAATGAGCTAACAATTTTCGCCTTCTATTCATGTGGGACAAGTTGTTACACTGGATAAACGGCCTCTTAATTTTAATGGAAATTGGGAACTTGATCAAAGAAAATGTTAAAAAGACCAATTCCTAAAAATTGACACTCAAGGAGAAAAAAAGGAATTCCTAAGGGAACCTGAATCTGGATGTTAAAAGACAAATAAAGAAAATATAAATAGACCGATACATCTCGAACTTAACGGACATTTTCTAAGAAATTTAATCTTAAGAACGGAAAAAGAAATGATATGAAAACTACAATGATAAAAAACAAATTTCAAAGATGAGAACGGAAATAACAATAAACAACAAATCACATGAACGAGAAAGGATAATCACTCTTTTCGTTATTTAGTAGAGGCAAACAAAAGGATGGATGTTGTGCAATCTTTATTTAGAAAATCTAAGAATATATTTTGTAATTAATTACTAACATAACAATTTTTGGAAGATAGTTGAACGACAAACTTTGTAACTTCTCTATTTTTATGGGGTTTTCGCTTTTCGTATGGTATTATTCATTGATTAAGTTTAACTTTATACGTGTTTATGGTTACTAGAAGGGTACTCGCGCAATGCAGCGAGATATATCTTGATTTCAATGTTTCATTTTAATTTTTTGGTTTCTATCGGTGTTATAATACGAATTTATGTGGCTTTGAACAAACAATAGTGTTTTTCTTAATAAAATATAAATTTGAAGATATAATAAAAAAATTAAAAAATATATAAAAGTTCTCAATTTTTGTGTAATTTTTTTTAATTCAATTTTTTTATTATAATTTAATTTAGGTTTCATGACGAAGTAATTTATTTTTGGTTTAATAATATAATTTTTATAAAGATAATAACTAAGTATTCTGTTATAAATGAATAATTATCCTAACTATGCTTTAGGTTTTATATTTAAAATAAGAATTTTATCATGTATTTGATTATTTTTATCTACAGTTAGTTACACAAATTCAAACATGAAGCTTAATAAATTGTACTTATGCATAATTTATTTGTAATATTGAATTTTAAGTAATATGTATTAATAAACAATATTTCTTATATAAAAAATGGTTTTTAATTTTTTTTAATGAAATGTTGTATAAGATAATCAAATATATAAGCATACGATTGACATGATACATAACAAAAATTAATTAACTAATAGTACTCAATAATGTAAAACATAAAATATCTCAATTTATTGAAATAATAAATTATTATTTTGTATTTTGTCAAATGTTTTTAATATTTATAAAGAAACCAACTTGCTCGCCAAAAGACAAAAGGAAGAGACCCCTTAGGCCTTAGCTTTGGTCGAGTGGTGATCAAAATTTCCATAGAGAATTAAGAACTAGTGTATTTAAACGATTATTTGGTAAGAGTTTATCGGTAAGATTCGATATTCTTATTTATTTTATCGAGTAAGGTTATAGTCCTTCTAAATGGTATCATATTCTCGATAAGTGTTAACCAAGTAAAAGTCGTCATCCTCACTTACTAGTTAAGACTATTGGTCCTTGTCATCGCTCTTACTGAGCAAGATTCTCGGTCATTATCATGTTCATTCGGTAAGGTAAGTGACTCGGTAAGCAGGTATTGAGTAAGTGTTGGGTAGACGACCCCTGAAGAAATTTATAGAAAAGGCCGATTTTCCGAATTTAAGCGATTAAGATGTTGGTTAACTTCTTTAGAAAAATGAGATTTTGAACTTTCTAAAACCATCAATTTGACCTATAAAATCGGTTAATGTGGTAAAATAATGGAAAAAGTCGGAAAAAGAACCAACGAACTTTAATATTTTGAATGATCAAGTCCATCAACATTTTCTAAATGAATAAATCACTGGACTTTTAAAACTGATTAAGTAGATTATTTTGACCTATAAAACTAATTGATAGGCGAAGGATCGTATGGTAAGGATAATTAAAATGAGAAGCGTAAGAATGGATTTGGACTCTTAATCACTTTTAATCTCTTGCTCACCTATGAATTGTGTTTCTCATGGAAATTGACCCAGTATATCTAAGTGCATCTCATGCTAACGTGCATCCAAAGGTGGTAATCCCTTCTTAAAATTCTCTCAATAACTCTCTTCTCACCAGAACCCAACTCTAACCGAATATATACAGAAAGAAAGATAAGGGTTCAGATAGAAACAATAGAAATATTTTTTTTTCCTGGATAACCGTATGTTTTCGGGTAAGCTTATGTGCATTGTTTATCCATTGGACGACCATGAATGGTCTGGAGTCATCACAAAATGAACCTACATGGCCACGCCTTGATTCAAATCCAGGGTAAAGATTTTCCATTACATTTGCCTAATTCTTAACAAGCATGCCATAACCCAAATAGTTAATAATAAAGATCTTGGAACATAAAAAAAAGATAGATCTCGATCATATTGATTTGAACTAAAGAATGTGATTAAGATACCTTTTAAACTTTATTTTTAAGAGATAAATACTATGTCCTCCCATTATTAATTGAAAATACGAAATATGATCAAAAATTTGAAACCCAAGCGAAACATAATATATAAAAAATTATTCTTTTATTACTTTAATTTAACATCAATATTGTTATACTTTTTTTATCTGTTTTTTCTTCTTTATGTTTTCACATTGGTAATATGTTTCTATTTAAAATCTCTCTCTTCTTTTTCTCTCTCTCTCTCTCTATATATATATAAAAGTAAGGACTAGTTTATTTTAATATATTTTTGAAGATCCCTAAAAATTAAATATTCATGAACATTTGTAATAAATATCATGATAAATATTAATAATGAGTATCATAAATGGCTATTCATAATTAATAATATTTATGAATATTTATTGATTCTCAAAATATTTACAATTATATATTTAAGGGGCGTTTGGTTTACATAATGGGATTTGGTGGAATTGAAATTCATCAAAGATGACTTTAAAGGAATTGGAATGGAATTTGACTATGCGTTCGGTTGGTAGAAATTAGAATGAAATCTTTCAAAAGAATTGAAATCTCCATGTCTGTTTAGACCACCCCCACCCTCCTCACCTCCACCCCACCCAATCAACCCATATCGACCACCATGCTATTATTGTCTTCGTCACAATAACCACCAAACCCAACTCACCCCCACCCACCCTTGACTGTTACCTTACCCAAACCCCACTGCCACTACCCGACCGCCTATCCCTATTCCTGCCCAGACTATCCCCCTCCCTGTCCCACCCTCTAGGAACCCACATAAGTGGGTAATACCGAGGGGGCTGTGATGACGATAGTAGTGGCATAGTAGTCCGTAGGGTGTGGGTAGGAAGCGGTGGGAGAAGGGGCAGGGGTGCGGTGGTAGTTGTGACAACGACAATAGTGGCATGGTGGTCGGTTTTGGTTGGGCAGGGGTAGCAGGTGGGGTGGATAGGTGTGACGACAACAATAGTGACATAGTGGTGGGTTGGAGGTTAGAGTAAAGTGGGGGCGAGTAGCAGTTGTGACGATGACAATAGTGGTGTAGGGGTGTAACAGTGACGATAGTAACATGGTCGTAGTAGGGTTGTGGGTAGGTGACAGGGGGTGGGGTGGTTGGTGTGATGACAACAGTAGTGGCATAATGGTCAGTGGTGCGTTGGGAGTAGAGTAAAATGGGTGGTGGTTTTGACGGTTAGGGATGATGATTTGTCCTGATCCAGTGGGGAACCTGGTTCACCCAACCTGAATGGGGACGGGGATTCCCTGCTAAAATGGGTCCCGAGGCCAGGGTCGGGATCCCTGGTAAAGGCAAACAGGGGTTGGGGCAGGGGCCGAGTATTATATCCCCCGACCTGTCCTGTATCCGGTATATTAATAATATTTAGACCGCACTGTTGTTGGCCCATCTCCTTTCACTTGTTGTTGGACTAATAATGTTGGCCCAAATCCTTCCCATCCTTGGGTCAAGTAATCATTCTCTCCCTGCCAATCTCCCTTCACTTGTTGTTGGACTCATCGACAACCAACCTCAATTAGTCAACGTCGCATCGTCTTTCACTCCGTCACTCGTCGTCGGCCCTCAGTCTCTCACTCCGTCACTCGTCCTCCCCTACGCCACTCGGACGGTCACCAGGCTCATTGGTGAGGTATAACTACTACTACCAGGTTTTGACCATAATTTGACTAGGGACATGATGTTAATCCCCGTAGCTGTCGGGGACCGGGGATGGGAGTTGTCACTATAAACCAGGGGAGGGGATTGCAAAACCCACCCCGTCCCCACCCCGTTGCCATGCCTACTGACGAAAGTAGTAGTGTGGGGGTGGGGTGATTTGGGGTGGGCGTGACGGTAGTAGTAATAACATGGTCGTGATGGGGGCAAAGGATTGGTGATGATGGAATTCAATTGCTTCACTTATTTCAAAGAATGATCAATTCTTTAACTTGTGAATTCACATGAATTCAAAGGATAGCACCCATTTCAATATATGAACCAAACAAATGAATTGGAATTTGGTCAAAGGAATTGATCATTCCAATTCTTTTGAATTTGTGTACTAAAAAACACTTTAGGGGCATTTGGTATGATGGATTTGGAATTTGTGGAAGAATTTTGAAGGACTTAAATTTTTTGATGCGTTTGTTTTGTAGGATTTGAAATGAACTTGAATTTCATTATTTATAAATAATCATAAAAATAAATTATAAATAATTATAGTAATTGTTAAATTACCTTTTTATTAATCGATTATTGCATAACAAATGTTTTAAACATATTTTAAAATATTATTATATACAATCTTATAAAATCCCATGAAATACCAACCACCTCCATGAAATTTTAAAATCCTATATGTTTATGATTTTGAATTCACGAAACCTTTTAAACCAAACATGAGATTTAATTGGAATTAAATTCCAAATCCTTCTAAATCCATTACAATCTTAAAAGGAGACCTTATTGATTCAAGATATTTACCATCATAGGTTTGTATTTTATTTGATAGAAATATCGATATTTTAGGGTTCGTTTGGTTTGTAGGATTGTTTTTGAGGGATTTGGATTACATGGAGGTTTGGGATTTGAAAGTGTTTGGATTGGAATGCATTTGAAATCATTGGTGTATTTGGTTTATATGATTTGGAAAAGAATTGGATTCTATTATTTATAGAAAAATATAAATAATTATTAATCGATTATTACAAAACAAATGTTTTAACATTTTTAAAATCTTATTTCATACAAACTTACGAAACCAAAACATCCTTTAAGGATTTCAAAATCTTATATTTATAAGGATTTAATTAAATTTTATAAATTTAAATTCAAAAAAAATCCAAGAAACCAACACATGAAATTGGAATGTAATTAAAATTGAAATCACCAAATCAATTACGTTCCCACGAGACAAACGGGACCTGACGAGTTTAATCCCTCAAATTAATCGGCTAAATTTGGGTTTTTTCATGGTTGTTTGACCACGCAATACGACTGTGTGCACAAAGCGTACCTTTCTTGATCTCACAAGCACACAGCCCCCTCTTCCCAGATTCTCTCGTACCTCCTCCTGCTCTCATTTTTCGCACTGGACGGATTCGGCTGCCGATTCCCATTTCATATCTCCACCCACTCCCGCATCTAAAATCACACTTTCATTTCTTCATAATCACCTTCATATCTCTTCCATAATTAACTCAACCATTTCTTCTTGTTTCTCCACAAAAAGGGTTTCTCCTTTTGTTGTTCTTGGACAACACCCATCATGAGCTTATCAATTCTTCAAGTAAGTTCCGTTTTTCCATTTCAATTTAACGAATTTCTCCTTTCTTTGCATGGTGATTTGAAGCCTTTTCTAACGTGTCTGGTGAAATTAGGGGTTTAGCAAGTCCCTTGCGATGACTGTGCTCTCTGAAATCGGAGACAAGACATTTTTCGCAGCTGCGGTGAGTTTAGTTGTTATTAATTAACCTTATTTTGTCATCTGGGTATTATTTGAAATTTGATTTCAGTAGCGAATTTGATTAACTTCAATCGATAAATGTTCCACTTGCGGTATCACATATCATATGCTATTGATTTCGAACAGCAGTGACAAACAATCGAAAGGTTGACTATATGAATCACAGATTCAATCTTGAATTTCATTCTCTAGATTCTATTTCATGTGTAGTTTAATTATCATAAGGAATTGGATTTAAGTTATCCAGAAAGTCTTACTTGATCCAACGATAATATCTAAGCAAGTGATAATCGAACCTTAAAATTTTGGATAACATTCTTTGACTTTCTTTTGGTCATCTCTAGAGTTCCAAACCTATTTCGGTCCAAGAAAACAGCTACACCATGTTGTTTGATGCCATTATGCCAAATCTTGGTGTAGTGTGTTTTTAAAGATTGAAAAATGTTAGTAAATAAGACAAAATCATACCATTGTTTTCTTCAGAATGGATCTACACATTTCTCAAAATTTGAGATGGAGGTAATATTACACTTAAGAAACAAAACATTCATTGCTTATCCTATTTTCTTGGAATCTTGTTTCCTTTCTTTTTTTAGTTTGTTTGATGGAAAACCGTTAAACGCGTTATGGTGAGTTTCAAATGAAATACATATTTAACTCCATTATTCACAACACGTTATGATCGTGATTTTAGATTTTGGCGATGCGTCACCCCAGGCGATATGTTTTGGCAGGCTGCCTTTCAGCTTTAATCGTAAGTTCTATTCTCTTGCCATTTTTCTGATATTAGTTTCTATTATTGAGGCCTTAGAAAGTCGATTGACTGATTTCTAGGTTATGACTATTCTGTCTGCTGCTGTTGGCTGGGCTGCTCCAAACCTGGTATGTTTGTTACTTAATTTGGATATTGATGTTGTTGCGTCCCCGTGGTTATGATCTTATACTATATCCATATTCAGTCTAACCCTCTTAAGTTCTTTATTTGTATCCGTAGTCAGTCTAACGTTCTTTATTTGTAGTACATCTTTTATTAAAATATTGCCTCCTCGAAGTCAACTTCTGTTCCCCATAGATATTATTCTAAGTTGGGAAATTGCAACAGGATGTATTTCCAGATTGTAATATGCTCATGGTCAGCTTGGTGGTTAGTATGTTATCATGGTTACAGGGTAGATGACTCTTGTAGTTGACTTGTTATGGTTATATGGAAAGATAACACATTTTTTAGTTGGTTGTGAAAAATGCTCTCTTTTTTACGTGGGTTATTCTGTTAAACTCTTATGTCACTATTTTGAACCTGTGAATGAGTGCGTTGTGATTCATGATTGCAGATCTCGAGAACATTGACTAAGCATATAGCTACTATATTGTTTTTGGGGTTCGGGCTATGGTCTATTTGGGATGCATTTCATGGAGGGTAACTCTCTCCTTTTAATTTGATGGACATTTGCATCTTCACAACAAATTATGATAGGGATTTATGGAATCGGATCTTGTTTCTGTAAACAGGGAGTCAGAGGAATTGGCTGAAGTCGAAGCGGAATTGGTCCGTTTCTTTTGCCTTTTGTTGCTTCCCATTGTACACCCCTTAAATGATTTTTTTTTTCTGATCATGTGTGTAGGATGCTGATTTAAAAGCTAGCAGTGGAGCAACTAGAGGGAATGACAAGGTAATGCAAGAATTGCATTTTTTATTTATTATCCATCCAAATCCAAACAACTAATGATTTGGTGAGCTTATGATGATATGTATTAAGCTTCTTTTGATGTAAATTATTTGAACTCAAGGAGTTAATATATCTCAAAATTTGGCACCTGGCCATCCTATATTATGTTTTCACAGGTTGATCATGATGCTAAAAAGAAGAAAAACAGGCCGTTCTTTGCTCAATTCTTCTCACCCATTTTTCTGAAGGTAAGGACCAAGAAACTCTCACTTATTTATGAAACTATATGATTTCCAATTGATGATTATTTCAACAGGCATTCTCTATTACTTTCTTTGGTGAGTGGGGTGACAAAAGCCAGGTGAGTGTCATTCTTTAGGCATCATAGATTTGCATGCATTTGATATTTACTGAAATGTGAAATGTACTAAATTTTCAGCTAGCTACCATTGGACTGGCTGCAGCTGAGAACCCGCTCGGTGTTGTCCTTGGAGGAATTTTGTACGTCAACCATCTCCAGTTATTTTGTGCTGTTTTTTCATATGCAATTCTCAAATGAAATTTCTTTCCATTCATTCACAACCATTTACATAAGGTGCATTAAACAGTAAAAAGACAGTTTTCTCGTCACCATAAATGATAATATTATTAGCACCCACATATATCATCAAAGCCTCATCTAAGATACTTGGATGGCGAATGCCACATAATGCCTGTTTGCTGTTTTTGAGGTTTTGACGAAGAAGTGTTTACTGTCTAATTTTAGTCTATGACAATGATTTGGGTCCTAGAAATGCCTCCAATGAATCTCCTTCATGTTTGTGTTTACAAATGCTATATATATAAGTTTGGGTTCTGGTGAGAAGGGAAGATATGTTGAGAACGGTAAGAAGGGATCGCCACCCTTGGATCGATCCTAATTGAAGGTCAAGACTAGTGAGATGCACCGGGTCAATTCCCTTCTAAAGCGCAATTCATGGGTGGGCATGAGAATAGAAGTGATCAAGGGTGGAGATCCCTTCTTTCGCTTCTCACCTTAACTCTTTTTCTCACATGATCCTTTGCCCCTCTCTCTCTCTCTCTCTCTCTCTCTCTCTCTATATATATATATATATATATATATATATAACTTAACTTGACAACAGGAGTATATACACAGTGGAATCTAAATCTTGTAAATAATATGATTAAAGTGACTTGTGAATTAAAGAAAATCTTGTAACTTCACTAGTATTACTTGAGTTATTGACATTTTGCCATCATTTATGTGTCTTTCTTAAGAGGGCAAGCTTTGTGTCAGACTGCTGCTGTCTTTGGAGGGAAGAGCTTGGCAACACAGATATCTGAAAAATTCGTAATATGCTCACCAATTTCATTGATTTCTTGATTTTTTTTTGTTTCCTGTATGCGGCTCAATAAGTATCACTGAATCTGATGCAGATTGCACTATCGGGTGGAATTCTATTCATAGTGTTTGGAATCCAGTCATTCTTTTCAACGGTTGAGTGATGATGATTCAGGGGATAGTGGGAATGGTTAGTGTTCGTTTCATTATCTTAGAACATATGAACAGAGTGGTGGTGGCTTGAATTCATATGTGAATTGGTTTTGTGCAGATGATAGGAAAGGGGTTCTTGAAGAATAGAGAGTAAGTTTGATTGATAATTTGAAAGAAGCCGTTGAAAACAAGGCTACATTTATGGTGGTTGATGAATGTGTATGGCTTCTGCCACCCCTTGAAGCTTTATCTTGATATCACATGTTCTGCATCTTTAGACAATGAAATTGTGTGTTGCAAAACAGCTAATTGGGTGATTCTAAATGAAACCCTTCTCTACATGTTATTTGAACCTCTTTTGCGTACATTAACATCAAATTAATCTTTTTACATTTTCAATGCTCTGAATTGACCTGAAAGAGGGTTCTAAATAGCAATGCTTGCCACTTGGTAGTCATTTTTTCATCCTGGGATGTTATAACTTCCATAATTCTGACATCGTATTCATTCAATATAACATGATTGCTGTACGAGGAAATATTCGGAGTAAGTTGCACTTTTGTTCTGTTTTGGTCCTTGCCACTGACACTGTTAGCTTGGCTCCCGTTAGGCCCCTCCCATGTGACTTGCACATGAGGGTATAATTCTCCTTTTAGGTCACTCCCTTTACTTCAACCCTAAAGGACCTTCAGATACCCTGCTGATGATTTACTGAACTCTGCCTTCTTCGATATTCTGATAAGCCCTTGTGAGTTACTGGTGCCTTGACGGTTTCTTGAGCTCCTCCATGGGTTTTTACCGTGGCTTCTCTCAACGACTGCCCCCTCCTTCGAGGGTTTTAACGATGTCTTCCATCTATAGAGAAGCCCCCACTGAAGAAACAAAAAGAGAAGCCCTGAAACCCACCCTAAACTCTCCTGCATTGTGGTCTTATTTAAGGACTTGTGCATCTGCTAAGATTTTTATTTTAAGGTGTTATATTCATGTTTTATTGGTTTGATGATGGTATTTTGTTAATCTTTTTTTTTTTTTTTTTTCAATTTTCTTGAAATGTTTTGTGTTTTAAGTTTGTATTGAGATGGTTTGAGATGAGATGCTTATGGCGGTGGTTGGTGGTCTTGGATGGTATAAGATCGATTGAGATTATCGGTAATTAACTTTTTACGAAAATATAACAGATACTAAAAATTTATTTATTCGTAGAAATATGAAAGAATTGAAATAATCAGTTTATTCGACTTCATTCCATTTCCATAAAATCCCAAAATTCCATTTGATGTGGGTCGATCCAGGTCTGGACCAACTGGGTTCATAGTCCATAGTCGATGCCTCCATGCCCATGGAAATGGGTTGTTGTTGTGGGCCTGAGATGGATGTGGGCCGAACCGTAGGGCTTGTGACGGAGTGAGGCATGAGTCTGAGTCTGAAAGCGAGGCAGTTTGGACTTTGGACTTTGGAGCAACATTGACCTGAATTTTATTATTAGTTGATTATTTTATTTTAGATTCAATTACAGATTGGGTTTATGTGGTTTTAAATTTGTTTCGGATTTGATTCCTAGAATTTGTTTATTTCAAGATAATCCTAATAGTTTGCATTTTTCTAATACATCAGTCCTTGTCACTAACAACTGTTAACCCAATTTCCTTAACTGAGAGATAATTTAGTCTTTTTCTCATTTCTTTTGTGTATTTTCAAATTTTATTATTAGATTATTAAATTAGCCCGCATCCCTACCCTTCTCTTCGAAAGCCTGCATCATTCCACCCATTCTTCTTGAGTGAAGACCATTGACGAGTATCTCTTTTACGGCAACCTTATACAATCATACACAAACACAATAACAACAAAACCTAAATCCTTATCCTAACCACAACATCAAAATCGAACCTAAATTTAAAACCCAAACCCATCAATATAGGATTGTTCCACATGGGTTCACGCCTTCACGGTGGTGGTGGTGTTGAGAGGAGGGCCATCCTTGCATGCACCAAGCCCACCAAGAAAAAAGGGCTCAGTTGTTTTTAATATGTAATGGTAATTCAAAAAAATAAATAAATAGAAGAGATATAATTTTTTTAATATCTAATAGGATTCAAAATAAATTTAATATTATGTACTAAGGGCCTGTGTTATTTAATTACATTATAAAATAATATGTAAAAAGTTAATTGGGTGTTCTTTTTATAGTATTGCTTATTGTTTTTTAAACTTTTTATCTAATATCAATTTATAAAACTACTTGCCTAGAAAACATTGATATATTCTTTATCATTCATCTCTCACCGACTCTTTTGATTCTTCCGTCCACATGAATTCTATTTTTGTATTATGCAAACTCCTATCTTTTTTGGAAAAATTACTAACCATATGAGACGGTCCAACTTATATCTATATTTAGGATTTCAAAACTCCATTTGTTTATTCATATATTATTATCTCTTTATTGCCTAATACTGAATGCATGAATCTTAAGTACTCTCTTATCTCTAAAACAAGAATAAGATATCAAATTATAACCTATATGAACTTTTGTATCTAAGATTGATGGTTCCGAAAAAGTGTGTTTTATCTCTAAAAGTTTAAAACAATGATTAAACACATTAACATGAGGTGAGAGAAACCCAACTGGTTTATATTCAATTAATAGGATGTTACTTCGAACAATCAACATTGTAATCATAAATGATGTCAATATATATATATATATATATATATATATATATATATATATTAAAGGTATATCATAAGATGTTTTGATAGTGGAATGGATTGACGATGCTATGTAACATGATATGTTAGATGATATTAATATAGAAATAATTATTGATTGATTTCGTGTTTAGAAATACTTGGAAAAACGGTTTTATAGGAGTTATTAACATATCTTGAATTCAATATTTGATGATAAAAACAATGTATTGAAGATTTTTTTGTACATATCGAAGCCCTCTTTTACAACTAACCCAAGACCTATAAATTGTCCAGAACGGGATTGGTTGAAAGCGAAGAGAAGAAAGAAGAAAAAGTGCACGGTGGTTATAGTGATGGTGCTGAGATTGATTTCATCCCTATTTCATCCACATTGTCAGTGACTTCCTTTGAAAACCGCCATCGACATCCTCCTTTGAAACCCACACGTTTCGTCCTATTTCCCCCGGACCATTGATTTTGTCCATGTTTAGTTCCCACTATGCAACTCAAATTATAAACAAAAACCAAGTACGAGATGCAGATCTGAGCCGATTTAGTGTGTTTTCTTTTTTTAATCTAGTGACGATTGTTTAACATTAGTTTAAGTTTTTGATTTTGAGTTTTGGTGATTAGGGTTAAGGATTGATTTTGATATTCGGTTTAGATTTGGGTTTGATTTTGATATTGTATTTGAGTTTTTGGATATGTGTGTTATGGTGTGTGATGGTAGGAGTAGATGATCGGAAAAAAATGATTGGGCAGAGAAGATGAAGGTACGCGGTGGTGGTTTTGGTTTTGAAGTTCTAACAAAGAAGTGTGCCGGTTGGGGAGGGGGGATGGGTCATATTTTTTTTTTTATTTTTTTAGCAAAGTTGGTAAAAGATCAAAACGTCCCTCATTATAACGGATGTGAGTCAAAGCCGTTAATGGTAGGGACCAATGTGTTAAAGTAAATAAATTCTAAGGGGTTATATTGGAAGAAACCAATTCTACTGACCAAATAAAACAAATTTAAAGTCACATGAACCAAATCCATAATTTCTCTTTCTTTTATTTTAATATCAAATGGTTTTTAGAAATTTCGATTTAGCTCTAGAACTTTTAAAGTTGTAATTTCTGTTAGGGATGAACATGATATGATACTATGTTTTTTTTCTCCATATATCCTGTATCATTCAATTATAATTAGTACATAAAATTTTATACTATGTACCAACCAAAAATACTTGGTACCAATTTTTTTCAGTTAGAACTGTTTGTACGGTTTTTTTCAGCATCATAAAAGTTGAAATTACAAATTTATTTAAATTGACATCTTTATCAACTAAATTTAGATGCACCTTTATTTTTACCATCGAGTATTCAAAGAACATATTTATCTCTACCTATACAAGCATTCAAATAATCTTCATATAGTAGAAACAATCACTAATAGTCTAATACAAGCATGATGGACCGTGGAGGTGTGCACAAGTTACTAAAATAAGAAAATTTATATAGTAAATTACAATTTTTGTCCCTGTGGTTGCCACTCACCATCAAGTATAACTCTCCTTTAAACTAATTACACTTTTGGTCACTGTGGTTGTCACTTTGTTTCGGATTTGGTCATTGCGGTTGTCATTTTGTTTCAGATTTGGTTTATCTTGTTAATTCTGTTAACAAAAACTCAATTAAGTTAAAGGACATTATGGTATTTTTACTTTTTGTATCTTTTTTTATTAGATTTTTTGTATTTTTTTGTTGTTTTAAATATTTTTTTAGTTACACATACCATCAATAACTGACTACCAATTGATGCATCCCATCCCACCTCACCCTCTCTGGCTACCCCTCACCCTCTGATCATCTTCTCTGGTAAACCCAAACACAAAATCCGTGTTAGATTGTCCAACATCATCAAATTCACCCTCTCTAGCTATCGCTCATCTTCTCTGGTAAAACCAAACACATAAATCCATGCTAGATTGTCTAGCATCATCAAAATGGAAGGCTACAAAGCTTGAGACATCATGAGAACCACCAGATCCAAGCAAAGTTGTTGAATGTTCTAAACTAAGCGGCCGTTTACCAAACATTTACCTGGGTAAACGCTTACCAAGTAACATTACCTCATCTGATGAATAAGGTAAGAACCAAGAATCTTACCCGGTAAGAGCGAGACAAGGACTAAGAATCTTACCCAGTAAGTGAGGGCGACAACTCTTACCACAATAAGCGCTTACCGGTTGCATACGATGTCGTTTTTGTGGACTTAAATCTTACCTGATAAGTAAATAATAGTGTTAAATTTTATTGGTAAACACTTACTAGGTAAGTGTTTGGTAAACGATCCTTAAGACGTAACATTTGGGTAGCTTAGGAAAATAAACACCAACAAAAACCTAAAAATGGAACCAACACCTGCAACAACCCTCGTCCAACGTTATCAGCACCAATATAGCTCCCCTTCCATGGACACTAACAACGTCTACCATACCAGCTTTAAGGTCCAATATCGACAAATAAAAAACAAATCCATCTAAAACAGATCCAAATCCATCCATATATAACCAAAATCAAAAACAAAAAGTGTTACACATATATACTTTTGATTTCTTGAGTTCTTGGAGTTGAATTGTGTGATGCAACCAAACGATCCCCTTAACCCCATTAATGCTAACTGGATTCTTGAATCAAAAATCACAAAAATAAAACCAAACAAA